GCGCTGTGCTTCCCCCGCTGACCCTCTTCTTCTCAGCGGTCTCCTGCTTCTCCACGAGGTTCAGTTGTATTGATACAAAGTGTTGGTCGCCTGTGTCTATCTTTTCTCCTGTTTTCTACAGGTTTGTGAAATGTTAAACTTGCAATACTACATACACATGTTGTCAAACATCTAAAATGTGTGTTAGGGCGATTTTGTGAGGGTAGTTAGTGCATTTATATGGGGTTTCTGACCAGTAGACCAGTTGTTCTTTGAATGTGACCTAAGATGGCGCCGGTGTTGCACAGGTGTTGCAAACTTGTAATTGATCAATGTAAAACGCAAACGTGGTCTGGATTTTGGCTGCAGCACATTTAATTTGGATTAACTAATATTAAATTGATGTCACAGCTTGTTTTAAATTACTATATATGTAATAATGTAATGTGTTTAGCTCCCTAAAAGGTTAAGCTACTTTGCAAGTTTTGAGCTCATATATTTCTTCTAAACTAACATGCAATTGTCATTACATCAATTGTTTTATTTTTTAATTTTACACTAAATGTGAGTTTAGGGAACATGTAAAAACTGGCAAATTCTACATTTCTTCATATTGTTTTCTTGAGTATTGTGGACTAAATGTAAACACAGGTCAATCTATAAACTCAATGAGGATGAATTAATAGAGTAGTAAACTGGTTGGGCTCCATTGTTTTTGTTGTAAGGAGATAATGTGTGCTTGTAAACGGGAAAAAAACCTGTAATCAGTTTAGGTATTTAGTTTTATTTCTGGTATTTTTGCATGTTGGCAAATAAATTCCACGGAGCAAAGCTGCATTGAACTAAAGTATCTGTCGCCTGTGTCGTATTTTTCTCCTCTTTTCTACAGGAACATTATCTGTATACAGGTTCTCAGTCTGAGTGTTCAAACTTGCGTTAGTAATAGAATAAGAAAATCTGCATTGCATGTTGGTAAGAACACAACATAAGTCGATGGTCAGCTGTTGGTCAATGTGGGGCTGTCAGTTAGCATCTGTTGCCCTAGTTGGTATGTTGTGTCCCACGCCATTGGCCCTCATTTGCTTTCTTTTTTTTGCAGATTCAAGATGGTGAGTCTGCAATTGGCTGTCGGTGTTACATAAGGTAAGATTATTTTTCTTTGGCCACTGAGCTCTTTAGCAGAAACAAGTTGTGATATACAATTTTTTTCAATTTTTTTCTCCACCCTCCACCCACTGGCTGTGGAAAGAGACCTGGATATAGCATTGGAGGCGGGGCCCCATTCAATCCTATAGAAGTTGTACAGTGGCGCATGAAGCCTAAAATGATCAACTGACATTTATAAAAATACCCAGATGGTCAGCACTGCCTCCGCACTGTGCCATCCATAGAGCAGGTGCACCAGAGACTTCCGCCGGCCGGGCCAGCTACTTCCAATTCAGCACTCTTTTAACTTGAATGGCGAAAAAATGATTTAATACTGCGGCTCTTCTAGACATATGAAATGTATCGGACCAAATGGATCAAATCCCAATAGTGAAATGTGTCATTTTAAGGCAGTGACGGTCAAAAAATGTACCCACTGATTTACAGATGTCTCTTATGCTATGCAAGTCGATGAGAGAAAGTCTTTTTGGGCCACAGGGCATCACGTGACGATGTAATTACAATTTTTGACCATGACAAAAAAAATGGCTTCAAAGCCCGGCGCACTTCCTAGTGGCCTGGAGCCAGTTGCACAAAGCACCATAAGTTTTCTCCTTAAGTATGACACTTAGGCTAAGAGTTAATTTTTCCTAAGCTGAGGGGCTTACTTAAGGTAGCTGCTCAGAATCCAGTAAAACTGTTAAGGCATTTACTGCATTGGAAGATTTTATAGTGGTAAATTACTACAGTTTCCAAGGTAACCATTTTTTTGCTTGTGCTCAAGCTTGTGTTACCTTAAGTCTTCTGTGCAATGATTAAACTAACTAAGGGATTCCTTAAGTATAAGACCATAATTAAGCAAACATTTTAAGGAAACATGAAGGAGAAGACCTGTTTTGTGCAGCTGATTTTATTTTAAGAAAGCCTTAACATGGACTTCAAGGGAAATCTCATCTCAAGGTGTGTTGTGTAACCGGCCCCTGGCTTTCATAGATTAAAAAAAAAAAAAACGTAGCTTTTTCCACATGATTGACATATTTTTTAAGAAATTTAGAAGGATTATCTTGGCAAGTAATACATTTAGGAGAGAACATTTAGAAAATGTATTACTACAAAAATACACTGTCTCACTTGCCTCTCAGGGCTTCCGTAGCACGTAGCCACAGCAGATGGTAAATGAATGGCAAGTATGAAACTTAATGCATTAAACTGATCAGTTTGCATCAGTTAAAATCCCTGTGATATCCATGATCACAGCTCTTTAATATAAAAAGTATTTTAAATCAGACCTTTTTTTACACATTGGTATTTATTTTTAAATCCTTAAATAAGTAATTGCTCTTGGTTTTAATGATGAGTCTCAGTGTCCGGTGATGATGCAGATGCTGTCTCAGAGTATTTTTGACCCTGACGTAATAAAGAAATAAACACTGACTATCAGCAACTTCAAATCAAAAATATGGCAGATACAGTAGAACGTGATGGTGTGGGAATCCTGTGCCATTTTTCTTCTACACCTGACAAGGTTACACACCACAGTGTGGGGAACAGAGAAGGCAGAACAACATTTCAAGACATCCACAGAGTCAAAATTAAACCCAAACAGTCATTTACTTGTATTGATGTGTCTGCAGGAGACGAGAAGCAGGAGAATCTGAAAAAAGAGATGCTTCCAGGAGGCTGACATGATTATTGTCCCTGTGTCCTCTCTCTGCCGCCAGGTTTCTCACGCGTTCTCTCTCCTGTCTCTGCCTGCTGCATCGTCTAAAAACCACCACCGGCCCCTCCTCCCTCAGCTGCACAAGTGACGCAGCCATGATATCACCCTGCAGCCTGTGGGTGGCTGACTCCATCCATTATTCAATAGGACAGGGTTCCTATCTGCTGTGCTGCAGTGGCCATGGCTATGCATGGGCATAACATGTACGCTATAAACACTCGTGTTCTTTAAAAATGAAATGTTGATCTGTATGCTAAAAACATGATGCTGTTGTGTTGCTACCGTGCAGCCTCTTGCAAGGTGCCCTTTCATAATATGGAAGAGGACATGACCTGACAGCCATTGTGAAAACAGCCAGGGGTGGAAACTAAATACTGTAGCTGATTTGCTTTCTTACACCGTTGCTTTGTTTGAACATACTCTTAATCCAGACGTCTATTTTAACTAGATTTTAGATATTATACTCTACATTTATAAAGGCAAAAGAGAGGGCCACAAAAGAGACAGTTTTCAGAGTGCTTCTGCTTGTGTAGGGTACTCCAGCCTTCTTTCCACTCCTAGAAACAATCCACATATGCAATATTTATAATAACACCCAGTTCAACACCCTCACCCTCAGGCACATTCAGTTCATGCTACATTTGATACGCTCTTCAATTAAAGGGACAGTTCACCCCCGAATTAAAATACATTTTTGTCCTTTTACCTGTAGTGCTATTTATCCATCTATATTATTTTGGTGTGAGATGCAGAGTGTTGAAAATATCCACCATGGAGATGACATAAGAGAGCAGTTGGGAGAAGAGTATCAGAGGGAGCTGGAGGAGGAGAGGGAAGTCCTGACTCTACTGCCATCCTGAGGGGACCAGACACTGATATTTACTAAATAAAACTGCACAAATAAAGAAAGGCTGTGGAGAATGAAAAATGACTTGCGTATCAATAAATAAATAAGGAACCAGTAAGTAAATAAAAAAACGTAAAAATAAATATGCGAATAAAAAATAAATGTATAAATAAATACAAAAACAAATAAATGTGTAAATAAACAGGAATACAGGAATAAATAAAAAATGTATAGATAAATATGCAAATAAATGTATAAATTAATATGGAAAGACATAAAAAAATATGAAGTACAGGAATAAATAAATGTAGAAATACACAGCAATAAATAAATACAGAAATAAAAGAATAAATAAATGTTAAAATAACTATGGAAATAGATTAATGCATAAAAAACAAAACTGATAAACAGGATAAATAAAAGAAAACGTCAAATTTATTTCTACATTTTGTACATCTACATATATTTTTTTCTGTAATTTAATGAGTTATTATACTTTTATCTGCATTTATTATTCTTTAACTATATATTCCTGTATTTATTAATATGTTAATTTATTTATTGATACTTTGGTAATTTTTTGTCCATATGGCACGTTACATTTTTGTTGAAAAGTTCAATATTTGTCTTGTCTAACCACACAGGCTTCTCTGAATGTTGTGTAGCAAATTTTAAACGAGCTTTTCAGTAACAATATGATGCACCATGTGTGGAGGAGAAATAGTTCTGTTTATGAACCTAAAATACTGTACCTACAGTGAGGTTCATAGGTGGAAGCATCATGATACGGGGCTGTGTCTCTTCCCATACTATAAGTAAAATCTACATTATTAGAGGGAAGATGAACGGAATGAACCTTGAATTAAAATCAAGGTCTGGTTTTAATTTAATATGAATAGCTGCATTGGAAATATATTTAATGAAAAGAAAGTTGACATGTTGGATACTTATTTCCCCCACTGTATATTATAAAATGCCTGAAGATATTTACTCTAACTGTACAGCAGAGGGAGCTCCTCCAGCCTCACCTTCCTGACGAGTTTTCTTTTAGACTAGTTACATGAAGGAATGTTTACAATGCTGTTCTTGTAGTGAAGGCAGATTGCTTCATCCTTTATCTTCTTAATCTTAATGCCTCTTTAATTTGTGCATGTGGCTCATACTTTTAAACAAACGTTTCTAAGAGGTACAGCTCTGAAAAAATTATCAGAATGTCAGATCTTGACGATTACCATCCAGTGCCTTTTACTTTTCTTCAGTTAATTATTGGTAAATAGACATTTACAAAACATGACTGCAGCAATCATACACTGTTTCAGTCTTCCATTTATTTACAAAACTCTTTTTAGTAGAAAAGTCAGTATACAGCTTGTCGAGGCAAATAATGCTTATATCTGGAGGAATATAATATTCTAAACAACATGTAACAGGAAGAGCAGCAGTGTTCCAGATACAATGTCAGATATTTAAAGCTTTTCTTCTGAGCAGCAGCTTCAAGGCTGTTGAAGCTGCAGACTGTTGATGAACACAGTCTGCAGCTCGTTGATGTCGTCAGTGGTCTCTATGGGGATGCTGAACCTCTCCGGCGAGGTTGAAAGTCCACCAGCTGAGTCGTACGCAGCATCGTAGCGAGGTTGGCTGAGGTTGTCGTAGTAGGAATCCCCACAGCCTCCCACTGCGCCCTGGTGGTGCTCATACACGTCCAGGTAGAGGTGTTGTGGTGACAGGCGGCTGTAGTCTTGGGCCTGGTGCGACCCGTGGTGGAGGTGGAGGCGGTGTTCGGGCCCCGGGCTGTGACAGGGGCTGTGGGATGGGCTGTGGGGCATCATGCACGTCTGCAGGCAGCTATTTCGCCTCATGGCACGGTGCAGGTCCAGGCGGGCGATCAGCGGCTTGCCAATGTTGATGCTTTTGGTCCAGTGGACAGATTCGTCATCCATGGCGGTGAAGGTGCCCTGAAGGCACACGGTGAAGACCAGCTCCTCCTGTTAATGTTGGGTTAGAGGAGAAATGGTAGTATTAATATTACCAAACTAGAAAGGTTATTAGTCGGCAAGATTTCATTGGTTGCTTAGTTATATTGACAAATTTAGGTTTTCTAGCTGAGTTTTTAAGTCTGTGTCACAGAAAGTTGGTCTTAACATTTAAGTATTGTGATCAGAACGAAGACGTTTTTTCCATGCACATTTTTTGGTGACATTATAGAAATTTAAGAGAATAACTTGTCTGAGTTTCACTGTATTTTTACCCTGAGTTTCTGCAGTGAGCTGACTCTGGTGTAAAGACAGTGCTGCGGCAGGTTGCTGGACAGAAGGTAGATCCCTGTCTCCTCTGGAGTCTCTCTGTTCATCTCTTTGGGATCCACATCAAGGTCCTGCAGTGAGGAGAAAAGGCAGGTGGCAGTGTGCAGTATGAAGGCACAAACACATGTCTCATAATCAGTAATTAATTGCCATATCAACCACAGTTGATTTAGAAAACACACTGCTGCGATGATAATACAATAACAATACATTACATACAATAGTGCAACCATATGGCTCATGACCTTTAAGTGACAAGTTAAAGTGCATGTGCTTGTTAATACAACCTGTTAGGCATTTAGGATGTGGATTATTTCAGAATGTGTGCTTTTGTTGAAGCAAGATGTTCTAGTCTTGAGCAAAAAGTGAAAAAACAGAATAACTGGTACAGAGTGTGAGGTGTCATGCACACACCCACACTCAAGAAGATAGATTCAAGTGCATTTATAGCTCATGCATTTTGTGTCTGTTAGTTCCTCAAATCTGAAGGGAAATAGCACCTGTCAGTCAGAAAAAAGAGAAATTCTCTGCTCTTTCTTAATGACCAGAGCTCATGACCTCACTCACACTTACCTGTGAGAAGTCAGTGACGTGAGCCTGGCAGAACAACATGTCGTCTGGCTTCTTGACGATGTGAGTGTAAATGACGAGCACGTTGGAGAACTCTGCTGCGAAGCCCAACTTGATCTGAGCGCCGCAGTCGAAGTTGAGACACATACTCTCAGGAAGCTCTACAGTAACACACAGAAAACAAAACAAGTTCTCATTAAAAAAATGAGAGAGAGACGACCGGTTGCACTGTATATACTAAAGTAGATCAAAATCTTGTGGAGAAAAGGAAACAACAGGATTGACAGTAAGGCGATCCAGGCACTCCAAAATATAACAAGGAAGGAAATATTAAACACCCTATATTTGTAGTAGCTAAATCATTATAAAAGCCAACATGTGTCGACCACTGCAGGAAAGCCCTAACAAAGACCTGCAATGGCTCTTTTAATGATTTAGCTACAACAGTGAAGGCTTTTTAATACCTACTTCCTGGTTTTTCTATATTTTTTCAGAGTGCCTGGATCACCTTCCTTCAGAAAATATACTAAACCTTTTCTGCATAGTCAACACATTACATTACAACAGAAAAATGTTGTCTCTATCTTAAATCCTTAGCTCAGAAATGGAGAATTTGACATTACTACTAGACACAAAAATCACCAGAAGAAAAGGAAAAATAAAAGTGTTAGAATCTTAAATTCATGTACAGCAGCGATTCCCAACCTGAGGACTGGGATACCCCAAGTGTCCCCAAGAAGAAGTGTCACAAGATGATTAGAGGGCGGGTTCAGGTTCATTGGCGATTTTATCCATGTTTTTCAAATGGAAACTCCCACTCAGCCGTTAGCAAAAAGTGGTGATGGAGGTTACAACGTGGATGCCCCACCCACCCACCCACGCATATAAACATAAGCAAATATTTCTGAGCTGATGACAGAGGTGATAATGTTGTCATCAGGTGTTTCTCGCTCTTCCAACCTTGTTTCCATCAGCAGTGTGGTTGCCTCGGTAAGCCCCCATGAGTGCAGGTGTGATTATAACAGTGTGAGCTCTGTGTGTTTAATCACCAATTACCAGAGTCAACATTTGACTTAGTGTGCAGTACTGGAGCGCTTTAAGCAAATGGGGGCTCCCCAGTGGCCACTAAACAAATTTTTGACTTCGATGAGCGCAGACCTTCACAGAGGTCAAAAGTAAAGTCCTTTATGATATGTAAATCTGCAAGTGCAGCCACCATGTATGTTTGGATATATTTCCAAAACCAAATCATAGCAGCTACATGTAAAGGTGTAACAAGGTCAGTTATACAGCAGTAATATGTGTAATATTAAGTATTATTACACAAAATGTGTTTTGATTGTTATCACCTGACACGCTTAGTGCCTTCATAGTCAATATGTGGAACGTTTGATACTATAACTATACTACAACTTTGCGGGTGCCCCACCTATAAAGGGATGTCTCCCACCTTACCTCTTCCTTTTTGCTGTTGTACTCCATGGGAGAGGTGAGTGACATTGCTCTCATATTGTGTTTTAGTGCTGTTAAGCTACGTTTAAGTTCATTTTTCAGCCTAAACTTATTGTATATTATGCTGACATAATCCTGTGTCACCTAATATGTTTAGTGGCTTGAGTTATATGGTCTTTATTGATGGAGGATTTTGCTTTTTACCCCTTTGCTGTCAGGTGTGTTTTCTGTGTTTTATTGTACTGAATTGAATATAACATGGCTCTGCCCCTTTGCTGTTGTGCTCCATGGGAGAGGGGCTGGAGTTTATATGGTCGGAATTGATGGAGGATTTTGTTTTTACCTCTTGCTGTCAGAGTTGTCAGGAATAAATGGAGATTGCCTCCAATGACATCCACGGTCTGGCCTCTTCATATCAACACAACGCAGACAACACTTGAGTCCACCAGTTACATAAGCTACCCCAGAGCCACTTTACTTACACTTCTACCGTTGGTGATGTTTTGTCACTGTTAAACTTTACTACCATATGCTGGCTTTTAAGATGGCAGTTATTCCACCAAGACCAAATGCTATCTTGCAGTGTTAACAAAAGTGAAAAATAAGTCGTGTATCCACTGCGTGATCTGGATTCCCTCAAAAATTTCTTGGGTTCTTCCTTGGCCCATGCTACAACCTTACACTAAGTTTCATTAAAATCAAGCCGGTCGTTTTTCTGTAATCCTGCTGACAACCAGGCAAACGAACTGAAAGTAAAAATTAAGTTTGTGTTTTATGCTCACCGTGAGCCTTTGCCCACTGGAGGCTGCGAGCGTGAGCCACATCAGCGCTGTCACCAGGCATAATAGGATCGGTCAGCGCTCTCCTCTCTGACAGACTGCTGCGGATCTCCAGAGCCTGCTTCCCCTTCGTAGCATCAAACTGACCCATGTCTGGACACAAGAAGTTACAAATCACATGTTCAACAACAGCTTGTCTGGACTGTAAAGCTCAAAAAATATCTTTACATGAGTTGAAACTGGATCCAACCAGGCAACGAGCACTGTGAGACTCTCATTATGTTAGCACATTTAATTAACCCACCCTGAGCTCATGTTAAAGACCTGTCCACATCCTCCACGTTGTTTAATGGTAAGTGCATCTTACCTCAAGTCAGTTTCCTTCAATAACCCTGGATCTAAGGGAAACTCCATTAGCCCACAAGCAGGCGGATACAAATTTCACATCAATAAGGCAAAGCAAGCAACATTTAATTTCCTGTGGCAGCAACTGTAAAGCAATCGACTTCATAAACAAACACTGAAAAGTGGTCTTTTAATTCTTTTATCACAATTCTCCATGGTGACCTGATGATATTCTCAGGCACAAATTCATTTAAGAAGAAAGTGCTGCCATTTTAAAGTCAGTTCTTCTCATGTATTGTGTTTGTGCTCCTCTCTCACCCTCAGCGACTCTGTCCAGCACCACGGTGATCTTCTCATCGTCCAGCAGCCGCTTCTTCAAAAACTTGACAAACACGCCATTGGTGAAGCCGCTGGAGCTCAGCTCGAAGGCCTCTGCGTCTTGGCACCTGAGCAGCCAAAACACAAAGAATACAACGTTTTATAATTTCCTAAAAACATAAAGTGTGTAAATGTAGTTTTGAATGCTTTGACGTTTCAAACTTACGTAGCGTATCCAAAGACAATGTTGGCCGTGACCCTGAGGACAATGTTTGGAGCGCTGTCATCGTGAATATTCCTGGAAAATAATTAAAAAACACAAGATTGAAAGGTGCAATAATCACTCTAATTTATTCTCATATTGTGGTAATATTAATATTTAGTAAAGCTTTGGATGCAGTGTTCTGGTGATGTACAGTAGTAATTATACTCTTTTTATCTACATGTATTTTAAAAGGCTCTGAATAAGAGCATCAGTTATATTTAATAAATTTGACAGAATTGAGCCACTGACCTACTGACTCACCTCTTCCTGCACATGTCCAGCAGGAAAACATTGAGGCCTGTCTCCTTCTCCTGCATCAGTTTGAGGATGCTCTGCACACACAAACAGTTGGCTGAGCGGTACGGGTTTGGTGCGTCAACCGGCACCATGAAACTGTTGCCGTAGTTCTCATATCCGTGACCAGCGTAGTACAGCAGACCTGAAGAGGTAAGTGTGGATTTCAGTTAACAAAAACATAATTCATTGAATTGCAGTTTTGGGGAGTGAATATGTCCGGATCTATGATCACATCTAGAACCATCCACAGGTTTCTAAACTCACCGTAGACTCCCTTGTGAAGCAGCAACAGGAACTCGTCCACAGCGTTCCTCATCTCCGACTCTGTGAGGTCCAGCAGTGAAACCACCTGGAAGTTCAGCTGCCGCAGGAGGTTGGTGAGGTCGTACACGTCCACCATGGGAGCCTTGAGCTGCGGGTGGTTCTTGTAAGACAGGTTGCCGATCAGCAGGGCAACTTTGTCGGTCGCTGGGAGGAGACACAGGAGAGGACGAAAACCATACTGTTAAACTATGGGAGGGGAAACAACTTGGACGCATCAGTGAAACATCTTTTAGAACTCGAGATGAAAAATGCTGCAAACTGTACAAATTCAAGTGATAAATGTGATTCACACTATTCTTGACCTTTGACCTTTTGAATATAAGATGTCATCACTTCATCATTTTTGAAATTTTGTCATAATTAGAGTGTGAATTCTTGAGTTATGGTAAAAAACATGTTTTGTGAGGTCTCAGTGACCTTTGACCACCAAAATCTAATTAGTTAATCGTTGAGTCCAAGTGAATCTTTGAGTCAAATTTGGAGATATTGCCTTCAGGTATTCTTGGAATGTCATGTCCACAAGAACAGGACAGACTGATGACATGAAAACATTATGCCTCTGGCCCCATCTGTTGCTGGTGCAGAGGCATAACAATACAAATGTAACAGACTGTTCTATATTGTGTGTCCCTGTTGAGTTGCCGTAGGGCAGAGAAAGTTGTGGGGTGATGTTCTGCTGTTTTAGGGGACTCAGGCATGTGTGAGACTTTATTGATGTGAAGGATAATAAATGGGCAGCGGTTGCTGTTGGAGCTGTTACACTTTCTTTTGTCCCACTTATTGTTCTTTTAATTATTTGGTTAGGTGAACCCAGGACGCTGGGCTACACAAGTATTGCTTAAAAAAAAAGCGGCACACAGTTACCACTGATATTTATAGTTGCAAACTTTTTCACTGTCATTTCATAAAGTAAATATATACATAGAGTTGTATCGTTTTACAACTCTATGACTTTATGAATCAGTTAATCCATGTTTTAAACTGTTTTAAATGTCCTTTATGCCTGTTTTCATGTGAAGCACTCAGTGCTTATAATGCTCTTATATGAAAGACCTTTGTGCTGCATTTCTTGTATGAAAGGTGCTCTATAAATAAAGTTCATTATCATTATTATATCGCTTAATATTTCTTATTTACACATTACATAAGCAAATATGTTTTAATAAGGATCCTTAAAATTGGGTTATGAAAGAATTGTGACCGAGATATGTACAGTACAAAGCAAGATACAGCTTATCTTATAAAGATTATAGCTGAAAAATAATCTTGCCTTCATGCCAATTTAGTTTGCTTAGATTTTTCTCACTGGTTGATCCATCTCAATGTGTGTCAAAGCAGAGTCTTGTAATAAAGGTTAGTGTGTTTTTGTGTCTGGCTTTTACTCTATATCCTCTTTTTTATGACAGAAGCGAGAAACAAATTCCCCTTTCAGAAGAAGATCTACAAAAAATTCATCTTTACATCAGTATTTCAGGTAGTGATAAAAATCAAACTTCCAAAGAAATGCAGGCAGGAAGGAAGTGGGTCATCTGTCTTTGAATACAATGATATTAATAGCTGTTTGATGTCATGTCACCAGCCTGCTTTTAATTCTTCTTTTCTGGTGTCAGAGAGACATTGATGAAACTCTGGAGGTGTTTTTTGAGGTGCTGTTGGACGTTATTGTGCTTTAAAGTGTTATTGTGTCCACCTGTGTGGCTGCTGACGTCATATGTTACAAGAAAGCTACAAGTTTCATATCTGTATTTTGGTTTCATATTGACAGAGAAACTGACGGCAGGTCAGGACAAAGATCCAGATCATATCAGACACGACAGCAACTTAGTTTACATATAGAGGAACTGTGCATCAGATGTATTATTCACTAAGATACAGCAGAAGAACTGTGTAGTCATACTGATAATTCACTAACATAAAGAAGTGTGTCGCAAGACGCTTACCATAAAGTTGTTCTGGAATACTATTCAGGAATAAATCACTGGAACCTAAAATTACAATGTCACAATTAGAGGATTATAAAGCAAGTTCTGTATGTGGAAAATAACTGTTCAAATAGGTATGTATAAATACTTCATGGATATGATAAGTCTTACCTCCTCCAATGGCATAAATGTCATCTAGGAATCAAAAATACAAATACATTACCTTCACATAAGCTAAGCATTTCTAGGTAGGTGTTATAAAAAATATTCTACTGATTCGGGAAAAAATGATTCATATGTACAGTAGGTGTCTAATATTCATGCAGTTGAATCAACTAATTAGAATTAAACATAGAGATTAAGGCTGGTGTTATTCTATGTTTTTCTTATTGTCAGCGAATCCAAAACCAAACCAACCAAAACCACAGGTCACTAAAAGATGGTTTTATTTCTGACATAAGCTCAATAGGGATGCACTGCTTTATCTGTGGCCAATATTCGCCTTGTTGACTGCCATCAGCCTGTCAGCAATTAAGATGTCACTCACCAGTGGCACTGGCAGATGTTTATCTGTGGTGTCACATCAGTTTTTTTGCCGGCTAAATGGCTGCTGATTCGGAAGACAAGCCACTAGCCGGTTCTGACTCTGGCATGACGCAAGAGGTTAAAAGGTGCTGTGCACGTGTGTGGTTTGTTGTCATGTTGCTCTGCATCTCACATCTAGCTACATCAAGGCAGAGATGCTTACGTTTGTAAAGAAAAACACGCATCAGAAGTAGGCTGTAAGGTACAGGTGAATGTTTTTCCCTCTGTATGCTAAATAAACAACAACAACAAAAATTGTCTGTATCAGCATCGTCTATTGGCCAAATTATTATTTTAAAGATCAGTACTGACTTAGAATTCAACAGTCACAGCTGGTCACTGTAGTTGTTTAGCAAATGTTACTCAAACAAGAGCAATACATGCATTTATTGGGGACTATTTTCAGACATATTTGCTGCTCTGGTGAGTATTACAGCTGTGGCAAGATGGTACATGTATTAATTCTAACAAAAAAAACATGTCACCTGTGCAACGGTGTGACTCAACAATATGTGGTTTATAGTTAATAGTGTTTTTCAGACAACAATGGCACAGACGAATAAGCTACATCTTGCTTTGATACACAGATAATACTACAGGCTGACAGGATCAGTTCCTCTGGTTTTGGTCTTTTCATTTAATTTGTTGACAGTAAGATAAACATAGAACGCAGCCATCATTTAGAGTACAACTGATTAAAAGTAATGATTTTAGTAAAATCAAAAAATCATGCATGTGAAACCTTGTAGATCAAACCCTGTGAGTACTGTACTGGTTAGTGTTTATGTGACAATAATCAGGACCCACGTGCAGTTACAGAGTTATAATTAACACTTGCATGCATTTAAAACCCTCTAGTCGTTACCCTGCTGCCATTTGATACACCGATGCTTTCAACTCTACCTTCAGAGCACTCCATTGCCTCTGAAATCTGGACAGATATCCCTGGTTCTTTTGGTCAAGAGCAGAGCAAATAATCACTCAGACGTAACCACAACAGAGCGGGTCTCACAGCGCTGTAATAACAGTGTCAATAAATTTACTGAAGTGTGACATACCAATCACGACGTTAACCTCATTGGTCCACATTCTCTCAGTGCTGCTGCTGATCTCACAGCGATACCTGCCGTGGTGATCCTGCATCGAGTGAGGAATCTGAAATGCACAGATGTATTTATTAAGACTCTGTCCCCTTAGTAAGTAAGTAAAATGCTTGCATGTTGTGATGTCTGAGAACTATAATTGGAGAAAGAGTCCAAACAAGAAGTTAAGGGTTACATTTTTGTATCAGTACTACTTATACAACGTCTCCTAACCGTGAGTTTCCTCTTTGTGGCGTTAGGGACCGGGACTCCATTTCTGTGCCACTGGTACCGAGGGATCGGTCGTCCCACGGCTCCACACTCCAGCTGCAGGTTTTCCCCAACATGTAGCCGCTGGGACTGAGGCTGGATCACCAACTTCAGCCGACCCTCCAAGGAATGATAACTCTGCCCTGGTAGCAGAGGGAGAGAACACATCATAAGTACATTATCTACTGTATCTAGTTAAAAGATTCCTGCTTCAGCTAGTAATTCTCACAGGATATATTATAAGAGTTAGGGTCCAGAGAGAGGTCCAGTTGCTACAGGAGTCACTTATTCTAAACATGAACATTTCATGTCCTTCAACTAATGCAGACACTTTAAAATATGTAAAACAATTGAAATAGTTCAAATCAAAAGAGACAAAAGGCATTTATAAATGAAAAACACATGTTTTACCGGCCATAGAAATGTCTGCCTTCTCTTGAATATAATGAAACTAGATGGCACTCAGCTTGTGGTGCTCAAAGCGCCAAAAAATAGATTTGAAAAACTCCACAGCAATGTCTCTTTCCAGAAATCATGACCTGGTTACTCAAGATAATCAGCAGACCTTGTTGTGAGCAGTTTCATGTAGGAACTATTTTCTTTCTACCAAGCTACACCTTCCAACTGTATCACCACGCAGAAGGAAGCGTGCATCTACTTATGGATGAGAGGCTCAACATTAATGGCGTCCCCCCCCGGCTAAGCTGTAACGTTAGCTAGTTCAGTGGTGCTCAGTGAGCTAGCAACAAATGCACGCTTCCTTCTGCGTGGTGATACAGTTGGCGGGTGTAGTTCGGTAAAAAGAAAATAGTTCCTACACTAAACTGCTCACAACTCTATGGCAGATATCTCCAACACTATGTATTGATTTGGGGGTGAACTGTCCCTTTAAACACATTCAGTATCTCACCACATGACATGGTGACATTCAGGACGTCCACCTGAGCCCACTGGCTGAATTCAAACGTGTCTCCACTGTTGACCCTGCAGATGTAAAAGCCGGCATCCTTCAGATGGACTGGACTTATCACCAGGTCTGGAGAGGAGCAGTTTGGCACCTGAGGATGTGTAAAGATATGAATCATATTTACCAAAAAGCAAAGTGTAACATTATTACAGTCCAGAAGAGAAACAGCGTTCCCCATCTGCAGGCTTACGTCTTATCTCCTTACACCCTTCTTCATATTAGCTCTCCTTCCCTCACTCTAGTAACTCTTTAAAATGTTATCATGTCCAATACGTGTATCTGAGTGTATCCTACTGAATGCATAAGATGCCTGTTAGGGTTTTAGTTTTAGTTGTGAAGAAAACTATGCAGAAGCAAGCAATCCAAGCCCAATATTTGTGTAAGAAAATATCGAATTTAAAGACAGAATGCTGGCAAAACAAAGTGCCATCCTTTACAAAAGCAGCAGTCGAACTCTAGTTTCAGATAAATAAAAGGTAAAAGTATGTGGATGGATTTAAGATTCAGATTCAGATTCAGATTCAGAAAACTTTATTAATCCCCGGGGGGAAATTGTTTTTGTTCCAGTGCTCCGTGCAAAGTAGAAATAGAAATACAGCACGAATGGAAACAAGAGATAAAGATGAAGATATAAATAAAATACTAAAATAGACAATGAAATAAATAAAATAAAATATTAAAGTAGACATTAAAATAAAATAAAATAAATATTAAAGTAGACAATAAAATAAAAATAAATAATAAAATAGTAAAGTAGACAATCTGAAATATATACAATATACAATGAAACGGTTGTAGCGTTATAAATGAAATGCGAATGAGTAGTTATATTGTTTGTTTTGTTTTATAAATAGCCAAATGAGTCCGATCATCAGAGGGAGGAGTTGTACAGTTTAATGGCCACAGGTAAGAATGACTTTCTGTGGCGCTCAGTGGTGCATTTAGGAGCAATCAGTCTCAGGCTGAAGGTGCTCCTCTGTTCGACCAGAGCATTGTGGAGAGGGTGAGAGCCATGCTGAAGTAAAGTGCTGTATATGTAACATTTCCTCTTGAAATTAACCAGCTCTGAATAACTTGTTTTGGGTTTTGGTGGAAAAGGGAAACAGTGAGTAATTTGACCAGTTCACTTTTAGTGGTCCAACACACACAGCACAATTGAAGGTTGTAATTGTCAAAGATTGTGCCTGTAGTTTGGGATAAGATGCAAAAGCCAATCCCAGATTCACTCTCATTTGTTGTTTCACCTCGCTGTTTTTTTTTTTCAGCTAATAAAGCCCTGACCTCACCTGAGCACTGTGGGGGTACACGCCCAGAAACGTCCTGAACACAGCAAAGAAGCAGAGTCTGTGCAGAAAAATATATGTCCACACAATTCTAGTGGGTCATAAGTGATGATTGAGAGGGATTACTTCTGTATACGTCTGTACATAATGTTTATTAAGGGAAAATCCTGTATAGTATAACCTTAAGAGCCTCTTTCGACACCTGTAGGAAGGGAGGATGGATGAGTATCTGAAAGGTTTTGCAGCTAAGAGTTTGTGCATTTAACATATTGTCCACTGCAGGTAAATGCAAGTACACCTCCTGGAAAGCTTGAAGACTGTATTAAAGAAATTGTTTTGTTAACTTAGGTTTGGGAGCAGGGCCAGTAAGTATTAAACATTTCCTTTACAGCAAAGTTTCAGACACACAACATGTAAAACAACCTACAGCATGCTATTCATGTCAACATTATGGACTAATAAAGACATGATGTACAAATGTTTCTCAATCTGGGAATGCAGAGCTGCCAGAGGAGTGTCTCACTGTGTTTGCTGTATAACCTCATATCATGTTTTTTTTTTAATCTTTATTTCAGCTTCTTTAACTACTTTAAATGACTAAAACAAAAAAGGGACCATGAGTTCATAAAGCTGCAGTATTATAGCTGCAAAATGTTTTGTTCTGGGCATTCAAGCCAGGAGAATGGAGAGGCTGTAGTGAAGCAGATTTCAGGCCCAGGCCTGTTCATTTGGCACTCTAACTGCAGTTTGTGACTCATTGTTTTATCTCTAAATTTCCTTCAAATCCTGAGCTAGACAATACTGATGTGCAGCGATAAAAGCTCACCTCTTCCTTGCTCTTGAACCACTGGTACTGTACTGGAGATTTGCCCACAGCGTGACAGCTCAGGCGTAGATTATGTCCAGATATGAGAGCCACCGACTGGGGCTGAATGAGGATCTGCAGGGCTGTAGATTTAGGAGACTTTTACTTTGAATTCACACTTTGTTTTAAATTGTCACTCTGATTTTCGATTGGTTTCACGTATCTGTAGCAAAGAACATTTAATGTCATGTATCAAAATCACCAAACTGGGTTTATACGGCGTTGTGGTTTCCCAAAAGTGCGCATGCAGTTTCACTTTACTTACCACACTACCAATATTGTAATGTTGGAATAAACATGTTTCCTCTTTCAAAAACCCAAACTGATACTTGAATGCATGCTTGTCTAGTGTTGCACTGACTGTAACCTGCCTGGCAGTGTACTATAAGTGTCTGCACCATGAAGTGAGTCATAAATTCAACACACAGAACAAACATCAGCCTACTTTGGATACCTGACAACATGATAGCCAGCCTGGAGGCGTATTTACTGTACCTGATGGTTTCAGGCACTGCAGGGCCTCCGAGTTGCCCAGAGTTTGGAGGTAGTCAACCAGATGACCCGTGGTGCAGCCTCGCTCTCCCATCAGCCTCAGCAGCATGCGGCTCGGACTTCCCTCCAGCTCCAGCACCTTCAGAGAGCACATCTCCATGTCGTCTGAGCTGGAGAACGACAGCACGTCACATTTCAGATATCAGAATCAAATCTATTGGACAAATATGTTGACAGAAACAAGGAATTTGCTCCTACACATTTTCATGGACAAAAATTCAGAACTTTTCCATGATGTTACAAGGATCCATTATAACACTTTCATGACCCTTTCCACAATTTAAAAGTAGTAGTGGGCCATAGTACAGATATGGCAGCTTTGGGACACTGTCACAATGTTATTCTCCCTCAGTCATATCAGATTCAAACCCTATTCAAACATAATTCCAACTAACTGGCACACATGGAAGGAGAGACTGAACGCAGAGAAAATGAAGAGACGTATGTGAAGGTAAACAACACGTCACACATCGATGCATTTTCAGAGCTACGTCAGCAGCGGCAGAAAACAAATTTGCTGTTACATTACGTGCAATGTTTTCCACTGAGGTTTCCTGTAACAGTTTCATTACACACAACAAATTTCCTTCACTTTTCCAAAACCTTAAAGGATTTTTACTAATTCCATGAGTTTACCAGGCCTGAGAATTATGTAATTTCATGACTTTTCCAGGTTTTCCATGACTGTGGGAGCCTTGTCATGCAGTAGTATGTAGCTCTGTGTATTTGCACAAATTTAGAAGATGCAGATGTGGACATACAGCTTCACAAAAGGTAGCATAAACATGTAATTACTATATAAAGGCAAGCTGGACTGAAAGTGTACAGTATCTAGACTAGGTGATCGTACAATAATGTGAAACTGAGTGGTGATTAAGGGGACAAACCAAACACTGGCTCCAGACAGTGCCATTCTACCACTTGGTCACCGTCTTAATGTCGCCATCATCTCATTTCACTTTCCTTGAGATTACTGGTCTCTTGTTGTCGTTCCTACAGCAGCATTTCTCTCACTTAGGACTGTTTAACAGGCTCATGTCGAGATGGGCCGCTACATGACAGAAGTACCATTGTATTTTCATAATCCGAACAACAGTGGTCAAATACGTCTCACCTCCTATAAAACACCTGCAGTAGGGACGTCACTGTACACTTTATGTCCTTTAGGTTATTGTGGTCTTTTCCTTCTATTTTAGTATTATACTAAAATTACTTTGCGTCAGCCAGCCACCATAGTTGTCGTACAAGCTTGGCACACGGGAGAAGTTTTAGCTCTGCGACCTCACTGCGAGATGCCACTAAATCCTTTGCACTGGACCTTTAAATGTTATTTTCCTTTACATCTTGTAAGTACGATTGGCGGTATAATTGTGCTCTAAATGTGAAAGATAGCGTATTATCTCAAGCACACAATTTCAAAACACAGGACTGAAAAAATGCTTAAACTGATTGACAGGAAAAGATTTCTGCACACTTACATCTGTGCAGTGTTCCACTTTATTGTTGAGCTTTTGGTCTATTTGACCTTCATCAGAGCGTATATAAGGCAACAAAAGGTAAAAGTAACCAATCTTAGTGTCATCATTGGCAGTGTGTAACATACACCTGTGCACTACCCCTGGTGGTAGAGGATTTAAAAAAAAATATGTATGCTTATGTACGCTCTGATGAAGGCCAAAGAGACCAAAAACTCATCAATAAAGTGAACTACTGCGTAGATGTAAGTGTGCGGAAATCTTTTCTACCGCTTTGGGCTTATGGATGTTTCCAGCACCTTGCCAAGACCAAGCCGCTCTCTCTCTGCGTCTCTAATTTCTCAATTATATATATGATATTAAACCTGTCAAATACCTACAGATTGGTCCTTTAATTTGTGTCACTGAACTGCATGACCCCGGGAGCAGACTGCATCACTTGAACGTGATAGTTTTATTACATCATTATAATCTACTACATCACTGACTCATCTGTAGGTGTACATACATACACCATCTTATCTTATGTGACGAAAACTCTGTGCATGGGTGTGTCATTCTGCGAATGAAGCAATATTACATCAATTGGCCAAAGGGGGGCGCTATAGCTACCAATTGAAATTGCAAACTTTGAATGGGCATATCTCGTGCCCTGTATGTCGTAGAGACATGAAACTTTGCACAGAGATGCCTCTCCTCATGAGGAACACATTTGCCTCAAGAACCCATAACTTCCGGTTTCATAGATTTTCCTTCATTTCAAATTTTTTGAAAAACACTTAAAATTGATCTCTTCCTAGGAAGTTTGACCGATCTGCATGAAACTGGGTGAACATAATCTAGGGACCAATATCTAAAGTTCCCTCTTGGAAAAAGTTGGAAAACTTACTAAAACTGAGCTTCTATAAGGCAATGAATATTGCGGAGGGCGTGGCTCATCACATAAAGGTGTATAACATCTCAAGGGTTTCACCGATCACCACGCAACTTTGTAGGCATATGACCACACATAATCTGAGGGGACCCCTCCATTATTGACCCCATCAAACAAAATGGGGGCGCTAGAAAGCTAATTTCTTATCTAGGCCTAACCGCCATATCGATTTTTACTAAACTTGGTAGATATGTAGAACAGGATGCCTCAAGGTGACTGGAGAAATTTAACTCTAATTGGCCACTGGGTGGCGCTATAACAACAGAAAAATGCTTAAAAATGGCTAAAAGGCAACCAGTCGCTGTGGCTCCCCCTGTGGACCAATGTTGGTTTTTTTTGTCTAATTTTTGTTATCACTAAGTCATGGTATGGTATGCTGCTGCAACAAGGGCTAGCCGCACCTGTCCCATGTGAACTACCAGTGTGCCCCACTTTTAAGTCAATACAACATATAAACACTTTAACTATCTGCCTTTCAACGTACTACCTCAACTACTAATGTACAGTTTTAGCCCACTAACTATCCCACTATGTGGCAATGGTACTACTGTACTTTCAATAAAGCAATCGTACTATCAAATTCACAAAAACTCTGTCTGAATACATTGCTCTTCTTAATGGGTTCAGTTGACTATTTAATCTGCAATTTCCTCTGACCTGTATCCCAAACACACACCATGTGAAACTGTACGTGGGTAACTGTGCACTCAATGGGTATGGACTAGTATAAAGTATTCTTATTATCTAGAGTGTCCTTTGTGTATCTCTTGTATTATATCATACTCCTACCTGTGAGTATACACTTTGAATAAAGTTATTTCAAGGCTCCAAACACAGTGCATGTGCATGACATCATCTACTTGACTTGCACTACTTAAGTACAGTAATAACTAGGCATTTTAATTCTAAAATGGACAGTAACATTATATTCAATACATATAATGAAGTATGGTCTTAGTGCATTTCACATGTTATAACATAAAATAGAAAGTGCTGGGAATTAGAAACACTAAGTTACATCACTTTGATTTTATACACTTTACAGTCTGAATTCAGACTTTCAGCCTACCTGACTTTAAACCGCTTCTCATTGCCGACTATCTCTCCCAGTTTTCGCCATCCTTTATTACTGGATTTGTCCAACACCTCACAGAGTTTCTTCACCACCGGCTCCTTCAACAAGTTGATCTTCGTGGACCGCTCCAAAGTATCCGACATGGCGGCCAGCAGCAGAACTTTACCATCGACACGTCTCTATCAGACCGGAGACTCTGCTACGCTGCACCTGACAAATACTTCAGTTCAAGACAAAAAGTTTACTTCCTGGAAGAAACGGCAAAAGTGATACTGTCACACCTACTGCGCTGTCTTGGTTTTCCCCCACGCAGCTGCGGGCCGCCTCTGTCAAAGAGTGTGTACGCACCAAGATGATACGCTGCTGGTGAACGACTAGATTTTGAATATGGAAGCTCAGTTCTGCAAGTGAGATTAAAGTTGAGTGTTGCACTGTGTATCACCACTTTGCTTGATTCTGCCGAATAAAATGACTTACTATCATTATTATTACTATTATTATTATTATGGATACTATTGATATTCAAATCCACACTGTCAACAGTGCACGTAAGAACGAAATTTCATTGTATTTGACTCTCTGAATAAAATATGAATAAAACTATAAATCAGCCCCAAAAGTGCCGGTGCAAATAAAAATCTAAAGATGAGTATAGAAATGTACATTTGTAAAGAGGACTTATAGGTAGCAGGTGTAATTAAGCAAGTGTAATCCATTCTCTCCAAGAGCCAGTGCAGCCGAGGAGGGTGCCACCTATGTATATGTTAAAATAAGTCAGTATCTTAAAATACTGAGAAGCTTTCTCAAAGTAATGACTATCTCAAAATAATGATTTAATATGTGTTCCCAAAATAATGAAAAACCTTCTCAAAATGATGTCTTAATATTGCTTATTACTTTGAGATATGACGTCATTATTTTGAGAATGTTTCTCGCACAGAAACAAAAGTATTGTATTTCAATTTATTTGTTGTTTCCTCATTAGATTGAAGTAATTAAGTGAGTCATTACTTTGAGAACGTTTCTCATTATAATCATCTTCTACAAGATGAAAAAGAGGGTACTTTAATTTTTTTTCACTCTGTTGTCATATAAGGCGGCATAGTGGTGTGGTGGTTAGCACTGTTGCCTCACAGGAAGAGGGTTCCTGGTTCGATACCCTGCCTCTCGCCCAATGTCAGCTGAGATAGGCTCCAGCCCCCCTCAAGAGGATAAGCGGTTACGAAAATGGATGGATGTTGTCATATACAGCTACCAGTCCATGCTCCATATTTGGTCTGGACAGGGACTTGAGCACCGACTCTCCTGCTCTAAAGCCAAGTCCCTATGGACTGAGCTACTGCCGCTCCATCACACAGGCAGGAATGGGCTTCCACAGATAATAAGACTTGAATTGTACAATAATTTTGGCTAAAATGCTCATCACCAGAATATAAATCATTGCCATCTTGTCGATTCAGTGATAAATTCAATAAATTTAACCTCCTTTCAGTGATTAAACACTATTTAGATGAGTGACCTGAACTGTGGGGAATTAAGTGTGGCATAATTAACGTCAACTTAATTTCGCTGCTTAACTAATAATGGTAGTTTATGTGTTGTGTTAGCATGTCTCTCATATCCCACTGGCAGGTACTAGTTTTTACTTTCTGTTAATGTTACTTGAAAATAATAATTTCTTGAATGTAAGCAGTCGTCTCTGGTTAATACTTTTTGAGAACTAAACTAGTGGGCCTAACTGTTGCTAAATATTAGCTAGCTCTGTATGGATGGCATAGTGAGCGTTGAGATAGCCAGAGTGTGTGAATATAAGGCCATTTAAATATCATGCAAAATTCATTTCCAGACATCGTATAAATCATAGATATTGTATAGAAATGTTGAAGGCTTAAAATACATGTATGTTGAATTGTGATGAAGATGCATCCTTTAATTTTGTAATTTATGTTATGTGCAGTTTAGCTGTGCAGAGAGCAGCATTAGGCACGGGAGCAAATAGTTTTTCTACCATGTGATTGAGTGTAATTTCAGCTTTTCAGTAAATGTGAAATTCAATTTATAATATGCACATTAACCAGGTTTCAACCTCATCAGGAAGACTGGAGTGAGACATCTTACAGTGTGTGCAATCTTTGGCTGTACTGTACTGTACTCAGGTGAGCAGGTTGTGAAGACAGGCAATTCCTATGACTCATCTCTTACGTCATATCCTATCTGAGGTGTCAGAGGCAACTACAAATGTGTTGTTTTTGTATTTTGTGAAAACAAGCCACACATTCACACAAACATTTTAAATACAAAAACTCTTTATTTGCACTACTGTTTTTGTATTCTTGACACATATTAAAAAACAAAAATTAAAACTATGTAAAAAGGAGCAGCCATCTCTTTTTCATGAGTGTTTCGGGAAATCCCTCTCCGCCTCAAATAGCAGCTGGTATACTTTAAATTTAACATCTGCTTTATGCTTCGGGTGGATATTAGCTAGCATGTCCTTGATGACTTCAGCAAACCGCGAGTCTGCATTGTCCTGTTGCATTGATTTATGTCTCTCTTGTTCCAGGAGCTCCAGTCTGGCAGCATGGGCATCACTGACTCGTGATGGTGATTCACGCAAGGGTGACGGGCTGCTGGAGGACGTCGTCTCTACCGAGGACGGTCCAGAGAGCGGTGCTAAGTATGATGAAGAGAAGTTACCCGGTGATGATGAAGATATGGGGGGAACAAGTCTTTTTGTGTCTTCTAGTGTCTTTTGGGCATCGCCGTTGAGTTCCAAGTTTTCCTTTAAGAAAGAAAATTGAAACTGTAAGACCACCACATGACAAGGAAACAAGCACAAGCACCTCAAATTTGTAGTCAAGTATATTACTTGAGTAAATAGTTATATTTCAACACTGGAACTGAGACACAGCTTTAACCATTTACAATTACAATTTGTATATTGTACAATTTATTTTCCACACTGAGCAGAAGGTGGCAGTAATGCACCTAATATGCTGGTTGCCAAATGCAGTTTCAACACAAGAAGAAGACTTGGATGAAGTTGTTAGAAAGTTATTTTCTTGTTTTGTTGTGACTATTTGCAGCTCCAATTCTGTTTCAGTTCTCAACAGCCTGATATGCTTCAGTTTCAGCAGTCAAGATATTTTATTCAAAGTGTAACAGGTTCATTAGGGTGACCATATTTTGATTTCCAAAAAAGAGGACACTCGGCCCGGCCACGACATAGCCTACTTAAATGATACTCACAGTTTACTCAAATATGCCTTATAATTTTAATATATTTAAAGTTTATATGTATGGATAGAAAATTCAGTTATATTACAAAAAAATATCTCTCAAAGACAGAAATTCAGATAGGCCCCTATAGATAGGGGACACATAAACACACTAGAGTGTGGCTACCCGATCCGAGCCCGACGGGTCCCGATGGGTCCCGACGGGTTTGGTCAAAAATGTATAAATTGTATTCGGGCTTGGTTCGGATTCAGTCAGGTTTCAGTGAAAATGTAGTGTAAAAATAAATAAAATCCTATTGTCTGTCCTGTTTATTGCTTGGGCGCTGTTATTTACGTGACAACACCTGAACATAACACACACACACATACACACACACGGAAAACCGGACATTATCATCAATTTATAAAAACCCCCCGGACGCCCCGGACGGGACGTGAAAAGTGGACATGTCCGGGCAAAAGAGGACGTTTGGTCAGCCTAGGTTCATTCCAGACTTATGCATCATAGTAAAGTTTCCAGCTGGTCTGGTCTCTCATGAGCATTGTGAGGTTGAGGAGGCTGTTGTGCATGTAATCATAGAGGGTCCATGTCATTGGTCCAACAGCCCATTGGTAACGACATCCCATTAGTCCGACGGTCCGCGGTGCTGAACAGCTCCCGGCGGGCGTATTTCTACCTTGATGGTGCGCCGCGACCGGCTCTGGGTCAGCTGGGAAAGGCTTGAGGCGGAGCAGGCTCACGGCTTATGTGTTTGTGTGTTCACTTTCTTTTTCATTTTAACCCACACCATGATCTTTTCCTGACCCTAACCAAGTGGTTTTTGTGCCTAAACCTAACCAGACCTTAACCACAGGGCATCATGATGATTTCGGAACAATGGGACTTCGGAACAATGGGTTTAATATGGTCGGAACAATGGGCTGTCGGACCAATGGGCAGTTCCCATCATAGAGCGGGTATAAAAAAAGAAGGCAAAGGATGCATACAGATCGCTGATGGGAGAAGTTTGCCTGGATGGCTTTCTAAATTGTGGTTTGGGTTAAAATGAATAGATTTCTGACATAAAGGGCAAACTTCTCCCATGTGCAAGATCTCAACAAGGCTGGAATTCATACTCTCAATGTAAAAACACTCTGTCAAGTGGATGTCTGATCCACACTCCATAGCGGAAGGTGGTGAAAATGCACCTAAATTGTCCCGTCGCTAAGTCTCGCCCCCGGACACAGACTGGCCAATCATAACGTAGCATTGGGCCGGCTCAGACCAGGGTCCGACAACAACACAGCTGTGCTCCATTGACTCTAATGCAGTTGTTTCAGATTTCCTTCATTTTCAGGCTGGTTTTGTGGATTTGGAGCTAAATGTTGTGTCTGGGACATGTCGTGTATTAATGATACTCATTACCTGGAGAGGTTGGAAAAAGATATACGTTTCTTTCCTGTTCCAAAACCAAAACCAAACCCTGAAAAGTGTAGGGTTAGCTAGCTAGCTACTGAAGATATAGCTTACTGAATGTATACACACGCTGCTTTTGCTTTTTAATGATTATAACAGTGAAACAAAGACCGACCCTGCTGTACAGGAACCAGTGAAGGGAAGCAGGGACACTTTGCTGATATTCAACCAGCTGTGTGTCATCACATAGTGTGCATAGTGGACGTATGGTTCAATATCAGCAAAGTTTCGCCTTATTATTCATTGTCTTGTGTGGCGATCAGCAGTGATGTGGTGGTTCACTTTTACACTGTGACCTGTAGCCTATAGTTCGGCTTTAGCTTCTAACTATCTTTGTCTTTTTAACCTGTTGTTGCTGCTGAGTCAGTTTGACATCCTGGATATATCCTTCAAACACAGACTGTAGACCCCTCTGTCTGCTTCTCTCTGGAATCACTGTTTCATTTCTCCAAAAATATGTTAATATTTGTTCAGGGAGTGCAGTTAGTTACAGTGTGGGCTCCATGCTTACTCTTGTTGGACCATCATAAAGGGGCGGAGCCTGGCAAAAGGCTCACATGCGGTATTTGCACAGACAGAATTGCTGCTGCAGAGCTGCCTGCACCTAAGAGTACTGTATTTCCACAATTAAAAGCCACTATTTTGCCACTGTGTAGCACCATCCTGCAAATATGTCACATTGACAAAAGCATTGTGTCAACAAAGTCATTGTCAGATGGATTTCATTTTGACATTGTAACAGGAGTGGCTAAGTTAAGAGGAAATAGTTGTATTTGTTCATGTCTTTTACAGACAAAAACACTCAAACTGTAACAAAGGGTGATATCATGTCAATAAAATCATCATTTACACCGTCTATTTTGCTGAAACGCGCATCACGCGGAAGAAACAAGCGATGCTTCTGCTCTCTGGATGTTCCGCAGCTGAGCGGCAAACGCGCCGTGCCTGAGCACCGCGTGTGCGTCATGGAAGCTCTTGATTGTTTTTCAGCGCGCATGAAAACAGGTTACAGGAGCGGCGCTGCAAGCGTCAGCAGCGCTGCTCAGACGCGGCTTGGCTGCTGCTCATCTGCGGAACGTCTACAGATACCATAGTTATAACGTCAGGTGCAACGGTTAACAAGAAGGAGAAGAAAGCCAGACGTCCACTGGATCCGTCGCGTGCACGATGCCGGAGCTAATCGTGGCCATTCAAGTCAATAAGCTGCTCCGCCAGAAACGCGGTGCGACGATGCGTCAACTTGTACAGACCAAATGAGTAAAACAGGAAGTCGGGCGCAGAAAATACGAGAGTATCCGGTCAATTTTCAAAATAAAACACCCATGAAAACTCGGGATCGTATTTCACATCGCTACATCAACATGACGTCAAAGTGGGTGGCGCCCGGCACAGGACGGAGCGAGTGCGCGCCGCGGCCGAATCGCGCACGCGACGGATCCAGTGGACATCCGGCGGAAGGGACTTCTTCTTCTTTGTTTCCCATTATTACATGACTGGCCATGAAAGAAGACGTGCACTTTTATGTGACAAAACACATGAACTAAACAAAAGAATTGAAGTTAAGACATGAAGTAAAGTACAAACATTAAGTAAAGTAAAGTAAGCTGCGTTCACGACAAAAGTATAAACACCGTCTTAACGTACTGGCCTGCTGTCACTAACCTCGAAGTCGGAATTATTTTCCAGCTCTCGGTGTTTAACGAACTGAGACAGCCAGCCGAGCTCCACCAGGATCCGCGGCACGGCTGCGCGTCCCTCGCCCTTTAAACGAGCCCTCCGTTTCTTGGCTTTGACGAAGCAGTCTCTGGTACTCTTCCACACCCTCCGACAGGATGCCTCGTCCTTCCCCAGGGTGGCTGCGATCTCCCTCCACGAGTCAGAGGCCATCTGGATGAAGCTGCGGTCTCTGAACGAGGGGTCGTACAGGTGTTTGTACCGGCGAACCTGTTCGGCCACGCGACTCTCGAAGTCGTTCATGCTGAGATCATAAACACAGCGCGTGCAGTTGGTCTCAAAATCTGCAATAATTTGCAGAGCAAACGCGCAAGACGCGAGAGCGCGCTAGGGGCGCAATAACGTCACTTTTGGCGCGCGCTCAAAGGTCTCCAGGCGCGCGCAACATCGAACCAGAGACACAGGAAGTTCGTTTTTCTCCTGAAGTTTTTTTACCTCGTCTTTACTGCCCAACTACTTTACAAACAACAAAGCAGGTTGAACACAGAATTAAAATCCTTGTGTCTGAGTAGAATTATATTTATATATAAAATAAAATATAACAAATAAGAAAAAAAATGCATAAATTGTAACTAGTAAAGACAAACAATATAATGAACAGACATACAAATGGTCTTCAATTTAAGGTTAGTACATTTAAACTCTATTAATGTGTACAATCTTACACCTATTATTTCTTTTACAGATTTTAAACTAATATATTTAAGGTATAGAAATGTATTTTTCAATGCACTAACCTTTAATGTAAATTAAAGACCATTTACGTTTATGATATTGTATTGTACTGCATTATCATATTGTATTTATTTACAATTTCTGCAATTTACTGTCTATTTGTTATCTTCTATTTCAAATATTTTATTTTGTATTCACTACTCAGACACAAGGATTTTAACACTGTGTTTAACCTTCCTTGTTTGAAAATTTGTTACTTGATTTTTTTTTTTTATTGGTATTTTCAAACACCAGGCCTATATTTTTTATTGTATTATTATTTTAATGAATACACAGACATTTGTAGAACACAGCATTTGTTGATTACAACACAACTGAGAACATAAACTGAAAAAAAGAAGATAAATTAAAAAGTAAAGTCATCAAGAATATATGAAATAATTATATGAATAATTATAAATAATTATATGAAATAATATTTTTTTTAAAAAAAAAAGGTTCAAATCTCTTATAAAAGTGAGAGGGGAAATTATTTAAAATATTACTCTAGGGAGATAAATAGTTTTAATTAATTTGTATTGCTATGTCTCAGTATCTTCATTGGACACACATTACCCCCAACACACATAGGCCTACATACAAATCACTCAATACATAATAAAATCTAAATTATTTTTTTCAGTAACTACCAACTGGCTTTTTAAAACAGTACATATGTGGAAGTAAAATCATTTCTAGGTATTAGGTATATATATCAGGTAGTAGGAGTGAGACATCTCTCTTTGGCTGTGCTCAGGCGGGCATGCCTTGACGACAACAAGCCACGCCCCTTCGCCATGACTCTAAGGACACCTCTCTTCCTCACGTCATATCGTACCTGTAGACGCAGCGGTAGCCAAGTGTGAAAAGAGTGTGCACAATAATACTATAACCAAAGACGTCTGTCTCTGCTGTTGTGTCAACATCAGTTACATGTAGCGACGGTCTGACAAACGTCCTCAACAGGTGAGTGAACACCGGAGCTGTAGTTTAATAACATTTATAAATGCGTTTCAAACTATATTTAGTAATTTGTAATGGTTTTTGTTTGAGTTTTATTGTGTGTGTGCCCGCAGGTAGGTCTAAAGGGACTAGACACAACATGTACACCTGGTTAACGTGTAATACCTATGCATTAAAAGGGGGTGTTAAGCCATTTCTTTGTAGTGTAGTGTAATATTTTTCTATCCTTTTGCCCACCATAATAGAAAACCCTAATAGGAACACCTTAAAATGAAACTAGAGTCTATATTTTTTATTTGTTAAATTGAGATTAGTAGTGTTTTCATCAAGAATGGTGGTTTGTAGACTCTTTCTGCAGGAACATATTAAAAGGTAGGCTTAAAATGCAGAATAATAGTAACATAATTTCAGTATGTGACTTATAATAAACTGGATATACTTTTTCTATTTTGGTACAAATCATAATAATGTGGCAGCTCAGCTTGTTTTCCAGGAGATTGTTCTCTACTGTTGTGACTCAGTGCAATTTAAAGATGATTTTTCTTAGTATTTAAAGTGTATTTAGTTTAGATGTGTGATTAGTTTATTATAATTATAAGAAGGTTTGAATGAGAATAAAAAATGTCATCTGCAAGTAAAATGTTAACTAATATTATATAAAATAAAACCTAATAAACCTAATCTAGATCGCGCCTTGCTCAAGCCATCCTGTAAAAACTTGTCTGAGCAGGTGTCGCCAGCATGAAGCTGAGCTGGTTCTCAGTGTGGTTTCTGAAAAAAATAAATAAAAGGAAATAAGAAAAGTAATCGGTAAAAAGGTGTGACCCCATTTGCGGCATCCTGTTAATTACAGGCTGGAGGACACTTTCCCACACCTTTTTAGATGACTAATTGCATAAAGCATTTTAGCGTTGCTACAAAGAGTCTGAGCCAGGAAGCATAAACCTGCAGAGTGCTCACTCTGAGCCAATCAGTCAGCCTACAGTAAATTTCAAACGAGTCCGAAAAGGTGCAGAAAATCAGCACAGGACTTTGAGGAACATATTGGTGGTATAGCTGAGTGTACTATCACATGTATTGGAAGGGTGTTCGTGTGTATTTGATCTTTATTTGAGTCAGTGAATCTAAATGAAGATGAGCTCTCTAGAACGAGGAAGTACATACAAATCTAATGTCCAGTTAAAAGAAAGCACAGTTAATTCTGGTAAACCCAGATTCTTTTGGAATGCTGCCTCACCTTTGATCTGTCTTTATTGACTTATAACCCCTCATCTTTTTATTCTTCCCTTTCCTGATTAAAAGGCGCTGCTGGCAGTCAAATCATAGCTGCCAACAAGTTATATACAACTGCAGATGGCCTGTATGCGTAGGCGACAACATGTACTTACACTTATTGGTTGTGCTTGTTGTTTTCCCTTCATATGTCCTTGTTTTAGGTCAAAACAAGACACGCAGCCAGGCCACGGGTTTATTTCACCACATTAACCACAAGCTGGTGATGTCACCTTCAGGGCGGGCAGTCTAACAGTTTGTCCCAGGATGAGGAGACATTTTGGGTTGGCACTGCTCTTGCTGCTGTCAGCAGCTGTGGAGTCCAACAGTAAGTTGAAAGGCTTGGATGCCATTATTTTGGTTTATAACAATGTGTTTTGAAAGGGTCAGTTCTCTAAAATATAAAATCTGCTTACCTCAGTGATATGCAAACGTAGACATGCAGATAGTTTTGGTTTTATTTGGTGCGGAGATCTGCCACTGAGATTTCTTTAGTGTTCACAGCAGTGAAAAAATATATTTACATCACTGCTTGAAGAAAAATCTTTTCTTTTTCCATAGGAGCTGATACTAAAAGATATAAAATAAGTCTTCACAGCAGCTTCTTTGACCTAATAGATATTACTGTTTAATTTTTTATCAAGTCCAGCCATTACAAATAAAGGGTGGAAAAACAAGTCTCAGCCACATATAACCCTCCAAACTGGGCAAATAAACTAAAACTATCTATCTGCCATAACTAGACACCATTAAAGATAAAAGGTCAAAGATTTTTAATGTTATTGGGTGAACTATCCCTTTAATTTGTCATGTTAGTCATGATCTTACTATTGTAGTAGTGCCAAATTGTGGATTAGGATCTAATGTTTGTTTTTACGCCATGTGTTGCCAGGCATGTCTCCACCAGGGAAACCAGTCCTGCTCGGCTGCAGGTCCCCTGAGAAGGAGACGTTCACCTGCTGGTGGGAGCCAGGCTCCGACGGAGGGCTGCCGACCACACACCGCCTGTATTATGAGAGAGAAAGGTCAGTCCAATTACATTTTTAGATTTTTGTTTTGTATTTTGCCTTTGTGCAAAAGGTCACGGTGGAGATGCAGGAAAGGTGGAGGAGAGGGAGAGAGAGGGGAGTGACTGACACAAAATAAAGACGAGAACCAGGGTTTACATCACAGTAGACTGTCACTGTAGTCTCGGATAAGTTAATTACCCACACTGAGATCAAGTGGAAGTAAAGCCTCTGTTGTTAAGTTGTCAGCCGTGTAGTGTTGTAGACAGGTGAGTGGAAAACTACCGGCTCTCTTGTTCACACACTTGTGTTCAGTCAGGTGAGAACAAATCTTTGTTGCTGTGCATGTAAACCTGCAGACCTCAAATGCTTTACCTGTGTGACCCTCACTCGACTTGACCTGGGGCTAAAATGCTGATATAAATACTGATAGTTTTAAACTTTTCATGGCTTGATTGGTGGTTTGGTCCACTACTTTGGTCCATGAATGGCCATAAAACTTACATATATACATTTTATAGGCCTATTGTCTTCCCAAGTATCCCAAACATATTTCATGTACACTCTGGTGTTCATACTTCAGTTTTTTATTTGTTAATTATCTTGTGTTTACTTAATTTTTAAATGATGACGGTAATGGTAGATGGTGAGCATTGTACCTGGTAAACATCAGCATGTTAGTGAGCTGATGTTTGCTTTTAGTGCAGCCTGAAAGAGCTTTTCATTAATCATTATTACATAAAATGTCAAGTTTGTAGACATTTATATTTTCTGACAAAACACTAACACATTAGGCAGTGATGCCCCTTAGGGAGGGCCAGGTGGGCCACAGTCACCCTAATACAATTGCTGCTGACATTACTGTCTTTAAGAGGCTGTGGCATGGTAATTTTTTAAAGTTAGGCAAAGATAGTGGTATCTTGTGAAACCGGACAACCTAAGACATCTACTGGCACCAGCCATGTTGGCATAGCTTTTAAGAAGGAGGGTTTTGGTGAGGTATCTGGTGTGGTGTTTTCAAAGGACTCCCTTGATATCTGAATGAAGATGGGTTCGATGGATACCTACGAGTCTCCCCTGAACTTGAGAAGGCTTGTTCCCAGTGAATGTTATGTGCCTTACAATCAATGCGCTCCTTCAAAGTAAAGCTGTATATCCTCCTGAGACCCTGTGTCCTCATTTGAAGACATCACGTTTTGGGTTTACTTGGCCTTATACTTCATTCTACTTAACTTAGACCTGTTGTCCTCGTTCATGGACACTTTTTTGTGCCATCCAGTGTTCGTAAGAATACGATACAACAATCCATGTTAAAAACAAGATGGCAGCCATCTCTGCCAAGTCAGTCTGCAGCCAATCCAGACACAAAAGTGGACAAGGTCCAAAACCTGATCACATTTTATGGCTGAAACTTGTTTATTTATGACTAATAATGTTTGTAGTTTGATATGGCAACAAATTATGACTTTATTATTGTCTCGTTTGAGGACACTGGGACTTTATTATCATCTCGATTGAGGTCATTGGGGCTTAATTATGTTGACTATGCCTAATCTTTTATACTTATCGGGTCCTACTGATCCCAAATAGCTAGGAGAAATTAAGTATGCATACCAAACAAAAGTTCGGGTCTCAGGAGGATATTTCTCTTTGTAAGGAAAAAGACAAACAACCTATCTGAAAAACAGTTTTCAATTAGCCCATACACTTTAACAGCATAATCGAATTCCTGAAATTCAGGTATGGCTTTTGGTTTTGGTGTGCTACCCCAAGATTTTCAGCAGCCCCATTTGGCCCCCTCATGGGAAAATTTCTGGGGACACCACTGACATCAGGTTCCTAAGACATGTCAGAAAATCTGATTCTTAGTCTCTTAGATGGTGACATTTGGGATCATGTTGCAGTGGTCAGTGAGGACACTATGTGGACATCACACGCCTGACTCTTATCTGGTTATCAGTTAGGCCCTGTAGCTGTTCACTGAATGTCAGCATGTGATGACGGCCCACAGCACAGTTTAGCAATGTTAACTTTGTTGTACAGGAGCAGTAAATGTCTTGCTTTGTGTGTGCGTAGATTGGAGGGAACGTACGAGTGTCCGGACTATCGGTCAGCAGGGAGGAACTCCTGTTTCTTTGACAAGAACCACACCTCCATCTGGGTTGACTACTACCTGACGGTGGTGGCTTCCAACATCCTCGGGAATGCCACTTCAGACACCTTTAAGATGGACGTGATGGAAATAGGTATGTTTTGTTACTCCTGACCCAAAGAAAGAGGATTTAGATGAGTGACAAAGATATATGCAGATTAACGAAGACAGTTACTGAAGGAGAATTTCATTAAAGCACACTTTTTGTGTATTGAAAATATCCTCTAAATTGCTGCTTTTCTGCTTTATGGCACCATGTTATTCCCGTGGGTTTGACTCTGCCCTGTACTAGTTACTGTTTAATGTCTATAAAAAAGTAGTTTTACAACACTGAACCACAGTGGATAAAATTAGTATTTCTGACACAGATTAACTGCGACACAAAATGACAGTTTAATTCAAAAATAAAAACAAATCCCTACAAATGAATAATAATAATAATCATGAGTAGCTTCATCTGCTTTGCTCAAGAGTGTTTCTATGTCACACTGGGAGTGATAAACTTTAGACTACTGACAACCCCTCTGTCTGTGTATTCATCAGAGTAGAAGACGGCACACGGCAGAAAACAATCAGTATTGATTCAGGTAATGATTAGTCTGAGTGGGCAGAAGTTCGCTGCAGAGATCAGCCTCTCATTGGGCGGAACGAGCCACCCGCTAAAGTCCCGCCCTACCACCTCCGGCTGTGTAGCAGTTTTCAACCGTTTTCAACACGTCCTTTACTAACTTTTGCGGTGTTTGGTCTTGTGGGGATGTAGCCATTTTTCTGCCATGGTTCGTGTCCTGTAGGTGATATTTTTGTGGGCATGTTACACCAAAACCTGTTTCCCCCCGGCAATATTTTTGCAAGTGCACCGTTGCTGTGGCACCGCCCAGAACGATTGTGATTGGTTGAAAGAAGTACAAGTAGCCGGGGCGTTTTTTTCTCCAATCTCAAAGTGAGAGTCGGCCCAGCCAGACCTTTGTTTTCTTGAGAAAGGTCAGGTGAGCGAGACTAGGTAATGATTGGCACAGTTTTGCCTTCTTGAGTTTCATAATGAATGGAAAAGTACTGTTAGACAGACACGAGGCGCGAATAAAAACAGAATGAGGCAGAACTGGTTTATGCCCGGTGTAAAACTTGTGTACAGTCTGGGATCAAATTTCACAGCTTTTGTTTGGTTACACAGGTGGTTGTGCACGTAATCTCCATGCACTGCACTTAGATTTGGAGCAGAGTCTTGTCCCATGTGAGAAAGAAGTAACTCCACTGCATTAGATTTTGTCCCAGGGGTTTCAAGTGACTTAACTAATTTTTGATTTTCGCCTCTTGTAACCCTGTGAAGACACTTTGGGGTCCAAGGACCTGCTTCACAAGCAGCCATGGTTATATTGGTCTGTTGGACGGTTCATTGCTTTGTTTCAGACTGAGTTATCTCAACAGCTATTAAATGGGCTGATATTGATGTTAATGATCCTCAGATATTAATCCAAATGACTCAGGTGACCCCCTGACCTCTCCTCAGGCACCACCAATAACTCAGTTTGTATGTATCGACTGAAATATCTAAATCAGTATTGATGGATTGCTATGAAAGGAAGAATGGTAATCATTTTGGTGATCCCATCAAATTTGAATTTGTCCTAAACTTTAATTTATGACCAGAAACCTGCAAAGGTAACAACATTCCCATCATCCTCAGCTGTAATACACTCAACAAAGACAGTGAACATGGTTAACATTTTACCTGCCAAACATCAGCATCTTAGCATTGTCCTTGTGAGCATATTAGTGCACCTCTGGGTCTTGTTGTGTCTCGTCAGTGAAACCATACACTCCTGAGAACGTGACTCTTCAGGTGGAGGAGAGAGAGGACAGCCCATGTCTCCGTGTCAGATGGGAGCCTCCCTATAACATAGACACCAAGTCCGGCTGGGTCACCATTAAATATGAATTAAGAATCAAACAAGGAAACAACAAGTGGAAGGTGAGTCAGAAATGGTAAAGACTGATTTTTAAAAAAAAATAATAATTTGCACGTAAGCAGCATCTTCCACAGTGCAGTAAAACAGTGTTGTAGCTTTGTTTTTACCCTTTTCAGTTCCCAGAACAAAAGTTGTTTTTATTGGATGACTGCTGCACATTGTGTTTGTTGTGCAGGACAGAACAAAAAGTGCCTTTCAAAGGTACAAACTGTGATCTGTACAGAAACAAAATGAATTCAAAATGTAAACTACAGGATTTAAACCTGTTGCAGTCTTAAATTGACTGAGAGGTCTTTTACTACGGGTGCCAACAGATAAATCCATATTATAAATGTTTTCTGACTCTGTTAGAGGTTTGTTTTAGAGCTGATAAAGCAACCAAGTCAATAACTGAACAGTCATTTTTTAAGCATAATGTGTTGTAGTTTCTCAAATGTTGATATTGGCTGTTTTTCAATGACAGTTACCTGAATATCTTTCAATTTTGGACTGTTGGTCGGGCAAAACAAAGCATTTAGAGGCACCCCCCTGTGCTCAGAGTAGTTGTGATGGTAATTTGTTGTCATTTTATTGAGTAAACGATTAATCTGAAAAGAAAAAAAAAGTCAGGTTAATGAAAATAAAAGTGCAGCTCTAGTCTTTTATGTTTGTATAAAAAACATAAGCTTATGTTTTTAGTTATAATCATCTCCGGACTGCAGGAAAAGCCAGGATACTGTGAATTGCCTGTAAAAAAAACCTCACAATTGCATGTTACTTTGTTTACACAAACTTACATACATGCTAAAAATATATACATACTTATCTTTGTATTGAAAGTCACTAAAAAAGTGGGTTGAATTTGGTTCTTTTACATTATTTTCTTATAGAAAACAACACACACACACACACACACACACAATTAAAATAAGGAACTGGCAAGTAAGAAACTGTACTTAGGTACTATAATAGAAAAATACCCATTTATCAAATTTAAAGCACTCATTGGGGGACTTTTGACTTCCTAGCAGGCTGATCCAAAGAGAGGGGAATTCTAATAGTGAAGGAACATTAGGACCTTTGAACAGTCCTGATAGAGCATCTGAGGCTGCCATCTGCTCCATAAGGAGTTCAGAGTTCAGATGTTTTGGGCCAAAGATCCATTTTTTCAAACAGATTATAAAATTTAACTGGTGGCAGGTGATAGGTGTAGATAAAGGTGATTAACCCTGTCCTTTTAGCCCAGCTGCAGCAGAAATCTCACTTTGGCATAAACTGTGGGAGTGCAAACAGGAAGAAATTAAACTACTTCTCTGGAGGTCAGGAAACATTCAAATGGTTGTGTAGTCAGCCAGCAGAGTGCAATAAAGGAGCTGTCTCCATGACTGTCAACAGGAGTGTCAAATGCTTTGACCTCATTTCATGCAGTATATGTGTGAGACAAACATTTTCTATGTTCACTGTTTTTTGTAGTTATTATATAATAAATCAGTTCATCAGTGTTCTTTAATGCAGGTAAAGGAAAGTTTAGCCCGTGATCTAATTCAGATATGAGGTGAACATTTTGTGATTTTTGTTTTTTTCTCCAGGAGTACAGGTCAGGCACACAAACGTACTTCAGCCTGTACGGCGTCAGTCCTGGGGCGGTGTACACAGTTCAGGTGCACTGTAGACTGGACCACGGTGCCTGGAGTGAGTGGAGCAACACCACCTATGTGAAAATCCCCAACTGTAAGTCTCAAAAACTGTTCTCAGAAGATCTTTGTCTATAGCAAGGTAGCAACTGTCTCAAGTACTAACAATCACTGAAAATTAGTTTGCTTTTTTTTTTTTTTTTTTTTTTTTTTAGATCTTCATAATGACAGACTGTTTTGGATAATGGTTTCTGTCCTGTCTGCAGTTCCAGTTATAACAGCAGTGAGCATCCTGGTCATAAAGAGGAAACAGTATGTATTTTCTGCAAAAAAGATGTGTAATCAATGTTGGCAAAAATGAGTATCGATAAAATAAATATTGGAATAAAAAATTAAACAAATATATGTGTAAATAAATACATGAATAAATAATTAGGAAAAATATATCAATGTAAATATAAATACAGGAGCAAATAAATAAATGTGTAAAAAAATACGGAAATAAATAAATAATGTATAAATAATTGTGTAAATAAATACAGGAATAAATAAATATATTAAGAAACAAAAAAATAAAAGAATAAATAAATGCATAAATAAATAAAAGAATAATAAGATTAATAAGTGTGGAACATTATGGATATAAGTAGATTATTAAATATATAAATAATGATAAATAGGACATACACAAATGAGCATCTTGAAAATGTTTTTATGTTTTGTATAACTATATTTATTCATTTATTTATGTGTCTGTGTATTAATAAGGTAGGAGGTCCTAACCTCCACATGTATTTATTTCAGCATCTATTTTTTTCCATTTATATTTCAGCATTTATTCATTATTTTTATTTCTGTATTTATTTATTTATTTATTCCTGTATGCAGATTTATTTATTTATTGACAGTAACATCGTTTTTCATCCTCCATATATTACTGTTTTCATAGTGTCAAGATGGTGAGGATAATTTGACTCATGGCTTTCTTTTGTTCCCCAGTGTGAAGCAGTTTGTTCTGCCCCCTGTTCCTGGTCCAAAGATAAGAGGAGTTGATGTCCAACTTCTCAAGGTAACACTGTGTCTGCATTGTATTTCCAACACATCCAAAAAGTTGCTTTGGGCCTGACAATGGCAATGTTGTAATGTACTGAACTGATTCTAACCTCCAGAGTAGGGGATCTGAAGATGTCGACGGTGTCCTGATCAACAACCCGAGCTTTCCTCCTATGGTGGCCTGGAAGGACCAGATGGAGGAATACCTTATCGTGACGGACAATGATGACGGGCTTTCCTCGCATTCTCAACAAAGGAAGAAAAGCCTGATTATTCCTGCTGGCTTCCTCTTAGACACAGAAATCTATTGTAAGGAGTCAACGCTGGCTGGGGAGAGAAAGAACGAAACAGAAAACACCATCGAACCCTTCACAAACAGCGGTTATGTGGATATTCAGAGACATGTGGAGAACTTACAGGGGGTGGATGTGAAACAGGTGGACTACAGCAGAGTCAAAGAGGTGAACAGTGACAATGTTCTCATCCTCAAGAAAGAAAACACCAAGGCTGCTCAGAGACAAGAGGAAGACATACCAGAGGACTACAGCCAGGTGAAAGAGGTGGACAGTGACAATATGATCCTCCTGCAGACACAAAGTCCATCAGTAGACACGTCCTGTGGAGAGAAGGGAAACCACTACACAGACTTTGCCCTTCAGAGGCAAAGAAAACCTCACGTGTGCACAGAACTCATTGACAGCGGATATGTAGATACCATCCCTACACCACCTTTAATGTAGAGTGTTGTTTTATATGCAGTGTCCCCAGTGATGTTGAGGGTTTAAGGCTGCAGATATTTTATGTTTCTGTCATTATTACTGGATGAGTTGCCATGAAGTTTGGCACAGACATTCATGGTCACCAGAGGATGAATCTGCATGACTGGTGATCCCCTGATCTTTTCCTACAGCATCATGTGTGGTTTGTGGTTCAGAGTGACATATCTTGAATCATGGGTAGATTGTTGAGAAATCTATTACAGATATTCAAGGTCTTTTGAAGTCTAACTTTGGTATTTTTTTTAACCTGAACCTTTTTTCCCATATTTTTGTGCCTAATTAATGCAAACAACAATTTTTGTATTATGTCCAGCATAGAGAGGGCTGCAGCAGGCAGCAATGCAATGTCTGTAATGTAATCATATAGGAAAACTGTCATTGTACGTCCATTATAAATTGTTATTTTTGCTGCAGACAGACTCAGACTGTTCTAAGTATCTGATGTTTGTTTTTACCTTTTACTTTATCCAGTCTATTTGTTATTGTGTCTTAAGTCTTGCTGAAGGAGAATCCCATTCATAAATCTTACAAGTCGTATACTCAAGCTTAAATAGCAACCATCAAAGGCCTCATACACATTGTTGAAATCAGCTAAATAATCTTCCATGCTGTTGAAAATCTTTTAGATAAGCGGTTCCAAAATGGTCCAGCCATGGGGTCCAGATTTCTCCTTAGTCTTTAGTTTGAGGTCCCACATTTTAATACATGCAGTGTCATACTTGAGTTTGGCCATGTCATTGAGCTAATTTGCTGTCTCCGTCAAGAAGCTGTCAGTTAGTCACTTACTCTAAATCAGAAAACAGCCCTTCAAAATAAAAGCTCTGTACTAGAAATGAACTGTATTTAAAGATATACAGTACAGGCCAAAAGTTTGGACACACCTTCTCATTCAATGCGTTTTCTTTATTTTCATGACTATTTACATTGTAGATTCTCACTGAAGGCATCAAAACTATGAATGAACACATGTGGAGTTATGTACTTAACAAAAAAAGGTGAAATAACTGAAAACATGTTTTATATTCTAGTTTCTTCAAAATAGCCACCCTTTGCTCTGATTACTGCTTTGCACACTCTTGGCATTCTCTCCATGAGCTTCAAGAGGTAGTCACCTGAAATGGTTTCCACTTCACAGGTGTGCCTTATCAGGGTTAATTAGTGGAATTTCTTGCTTTATCAATGGGGTTGGGACCATCAGTTGTGTTGTGCAGAAGTCAGGTTAATACACAGCCGACAGCCCTATTGGACAACTGTTAAAATTCATATTATGGCAAGAACCAATCAGCTAACTAAAGAAAAACGAGTGGTCATCATTACTTTAAGAAATGAAGGTCAGTCAGTCCAGAAAATTGCAAAAACTTTAAATGTGTCCCAAAGTGGAGTCGCAAAAACCATCAAGCGCTACAACGAAACTGGCACACATGAGGACCGACCCAGGAAAGGAAGACCAAGAGTCACCTCTGCTTCTGAGGATAAGTTCATCCGAGTCACCAGCCTCAGAAATCGCAAGTTAACAGCAGCTCAGATCAGAGACCAGATGAATGCCACACAGAGTTCTAGCAGCAGACCCATCTCTAGAACAACTGTTAAGAGGAGACTGCGCCAATCAGGCCTTCATGGTCAAATAGCTGCTAGGAAACCACTGCTAAGGAGAGGCAACAAGCAGAAGAGATTTGTTTGGGCCAAGAAACACAAGGAATGGACATTAGACCAGTGGAAATCTGTGCTTTGGTCTGATGAGTCCAAATTTGAGATCTTTGGTTCCAACCGCCGTGTCTTTGTGAGACGCAGAAAAGGTGAACGGATGGATTCCACATGCCTGGTTCCCACTGTGAAGCATGGAGGAGGAGGTGTGATGGTGTGGGGGTGTTTTGCTGGTGACACTGTTGGGGATTTATTCAAAATTGAAGGCACACTGAACCAGCATGGCTACCACAGCATCCTGCAGCGACATGCCATCCCATCCGGTTTGCGTTTAGTTGGACGATCATTTATTTTTCAACAGGACAATGACCCCAAACACACCTCCAGGCTGTGTAAGGGCTATTTGACCAAGAAGGAGAGTGATGGAGTGCTGCGGCAGATGACCTGGCCTCCACAGTCACCGGACCTGAACCCAATCGAGATGGTTTAGGGTGAGCTGGACCACAGAGTGAAGGCAAAGGAGCCAACAAGTGCTAAACACCTCTGGGAACTCCTTCAAGACTGTTGGAAAACCATTTCAGGTGACTACCTCTTGAAGCTCATGGAGAGAATGCCAAGAGTGTGCAAAGCAGTAATCAGAGCAAAGGGTGGCTATTTTGAAGAAACTAGAATATAAAACATGTTTTCAGTTATTTCACCTTTTTTTGTTAAGTACATAACTCCACATGTGTTCATTCATAGTTTTGATGCCTTCAGTGAGAATCTACAATGTAAATAGTCATGAAAATAAAGAAAACGCATTGAATGAGAAGGTGTGTCCAAACTTTTGGCCTGTACTGTATATATATATATTTTTATAAACTTGACATGTTTGCATTCAGAATAGGCCTGTGATCCACCTTTGGACCGCAACCCACCAGTTGGGAAACACTGTTTTAGATAACGGTAAGCTAAGCTTTCTATACTCCAACACATTATTCCCTCTCACACGCGTTTCCAGTGTTGTCTCACTGCAACAAGTCTGATTCTGTGATGCTGGGATGCCTCAGGGAAGCATATTTGGCCCACTTCTCTCATTTACTAATGATCCACACTCACTTATAGTAAACACTGCATTTGTCCTTTTTACGTAAATTAGACTTAACATTTATTTAGCTTAAAGAAAAAAAAAAATCAACCCCAAACTGTCCTCTGATTTTAATTTCCAACAACTGAACCATCTGCTTATTAATGCTTAAAAAATAGTTTATATCTCCATTAGGAAATTTGTGTATACTCCCTCTTAGATTCAGTTTATATTTAAGGATTTATAAAAAAGAAAAACCACTTTACGGAGCATTTAAACAAATCTGAAGACAATTAGGGAATTATGCTTATTCACTTTCTAGGGGAGAACAGATGATAAATTTAATATCTATCACATTTCTGTTTGATAAATGTAAGCTAGAGCTGGTAACTGGTTAGGTTAGCTTAGCACAATAATTGGAAACAGGGAGAAACAGACAGCCTGACAATCAGTCTTAAGCTCACAAATTGACATGTTACATCTTGTTTGTTTGTGAGAATTTGCCATTTTAGTGGGAGTACTTTAATTGGGACTATTTCTTGGCCGCATACAGTAACTTTTAACAGCAATGCTTGGCAACTCCTGAGTGCCAAGGAGTAGTCTCACACATAAACCTCCCACAAACAGGCAAATAGTTGATTTTTTTTTCCAAAACAAATGAGATATGAGAGCTTTAGAGGTGCATGTAAGCTGTGCTCATTTTCAGTCTTGATACTAAGCTAAGCGAAGCTAAACACTTGCTAGCTGTAGTAACTCTCCACCAGAAAGCAAACGAGTACATTTCCCCAAATGTCAAACTTTTGCTGTAAGTCACATGAAATGCAAGACTGTGAAGATACACTTAAATTTGTCATAGCAGTAAATAATTATTGCTGTTAATCCTGTTGAACGTGTCAAAACACATCATCAACTTCCTAACAACCGTCTCCTCCTCCTTCCAGTAAAATAGTACCAAGACATAACTCAGAAAGATTTCAGCATGTGATCTGGTTGACCTTGCATGAACCCATCCCATTCCAACTCCCAGTAACAATAAGATTCACCACACATCTGATAACATCACTGTTCCACAACTGAAATGTTTATATGAGCAATTTCTCGAGTCTTAATAGTCACAATCAAATGTCTTCTCTGCTTTACAATCTCAGTTCTGGTCATTTATTTTGCCCATTTCAAATTTTGTCCTTTATTGGCTCTTTTAACGCATGATTGACACCTAGCACTTTAGATACCATAATTTCTCCTGTTATATCATTATGCTATTTCATAGTTTAATTTCCTCACCATGGGTGTATCTCCATTTTTTAACTCTAAACTGAACCTAGGCTTGCCATGGTGTCCTAGGAGGGTTTAAGACAGTGGGCTCAAATAAGAGTCGATAAGATTTTGTGTTCGTGAAATTATGCTCAGAAATAATTCTGAAGTCTGTGCTTGTATATCACTCTTTGTAAGCAAGCAAAAACATGAATATGTCGGCAAGATCTGTAGTTGTAGAAAAATCTCTTGAGAATGTGTAAATACATCTGTGCACGAATTATATCAACAGTAAGGTCACATCAACACTTAGGAAAAATACTTGGTTTACATCTCAATATAGATTCAAAAGCAAACTCTGTGAGAAACTCAGCACTCAAACTTCCCAAACTATGTGCAACACTAAAGTAACGAATCCATGTTGATGTACACTATCGCCCCAAAACCCAATGAAATGCACATAGGACATCTTAAAGTCAGTAATGGCATTTTTAAAGTTGCACTGTGAACAATGGCACAAGTATTGTATAATTTCCTGTTTGTATAAATTTAGTGTGTTGTTTTCTTGTATGCGAACAGCAAGAAAATAAAAATAATATAAAGTATATGCTGTTTGCAATCGGTATGGAATTGGGGCACAGCCTTAAGTTAAAGGGTACAAATGTTTGGCCTTGCTTTAACAGCCTAAAGCATGGTGTTTCTGTACAGATTGTAACTACAGTGTCATGCAATGTGGAAGCTTTGAGTTTCTCAAAAACACAATAAAATAAAATGTTTTCTACGTTCACAAACTTGAATTTCTCACGCAGAGTTTCCCCAGTTTTAAAAAGGGTGATAACAACCATCATTTCACAAGCTTAAAACCATACTGGATCTCATTTGAGCCCATATTAAGACACTGACCATGTAACTGCAATGCCTGTAGGTTGAGTTTGGCTGGGAAGTTGTGATTCACCTTTTCTCTCCCTGCATTTCCTGACATCTCTCTAATGTCTGTGTCAATAAAAAGACAAAAATGCTGGTAACATACTTTGACCTGAACAGAACTGATTACAAGAAAAAAAAGCAACATAATGGCTCCAGGGCAGACGTCACTCCTGATAATTTCATATCACTGCTGTTATTCTAATCTACACACATTCAGTACATAAACCCCCTACACATCCTCTACTCATGTTCACAGACATCATGATTGAAAGTTTATATTGTGGGATTTCTTCAAGTGAGTGATTTGGTCCTAATGAGTCAGTGATTAAACCTCTCCAGATTGTAACCCACATACAGTCTTAAAGCACACAGCTCTGCCCAATTATCTTAAACTCAAACACAAAAATATGACTTTTTTCAAAAAGAAAATAAATGAATTCATAATTCATTTCAAACATTAGCAACAAGATTATCTCCTGCCAAAACCCCCAGGTTAAGAACCGCTGCAGCAGAGCACCTTCCATTGCTCTTTTTCTGCATGTGGGATCAAGTCCATCCTAGTTTCAGCACGAGTGGGTTAACATTGTTTTTAGGCACAAAGGGATTCACCACTGTCAACTCTTCTCATCTTCATCAGTGTTTTCAGTACATTCACTGTCCAAGCGCATGGAGCTCAGCTGCTCCTCAAAGTTCAGAAATTTGTGGTTGTAATCCTTCTCCAACATTTGCTTCCAAATTTTAACTAGAAGAAGAAATACAGGAAGATATTTATTTGATTTTTATTTAACTTTCAATGGTGAAATATGTTACTGTATTACAGCTTTCACTTGGTTTAACTTCATCAGTGCAGTTCATATGGGTCAGGGCAGTAACTTACTGTACTCTGGTTCCTCTGGCTGTGTAGCGTCAGGTTCGGGATGAGCCTCCTCAGCCAGGCTACTGATCTGCAGCTCCTCCTCAGTGTTCCCCTCCTCCTCTGCCTCCGCCGGGCCTGTCTGCTCCAGGCTCGACACCATCTCCTCATAAGCTCTCCTGGCCTCAGAAGACAACTCGATCATCTTATGATAGAAGTCCTGCAGGTACAAAAGGAGACCTCTCAGCTTGTCTGTGATATTTTTACTGACATGCTTTTTGTAATAACACTTGAGCTCATGTCAGGAACAACTGTCTTGTTGGTGATTAGTATGTATTGTTGATCATAAACCTGACCTGTGCGCCATCATAGTTGAAGATGCCCACCAGGCTGACTGGCACTGCCTTGTTGAGACAGCGACCCAAAGCTTTCCTGGAGAGGGCAAACACGAACGGCACCCCCTGCTCACGACATGTGTCGATGATGGTGTATAGAGCCTCATCCAGGCCTCCTGTAAAAGAAGACAGTTTTCTATAAATAAATTAACACAATTTTGAGAGCGGTCGGTGTATTTTTACCCAACCACCTACCTATAACTGCTGCTACTGAACCTGGACTGCTGCAAATCCTACATTCATACAATGTGGCTGCCATTTTCACACCAAAAATGGTCCTGTTCTAAAATTCTATCTGGGATAGCTAAATCTGAAAATGCTGGCTTTGTCCGAAAATAAGACGGCAACTTTCTGTCACATCCAGCCCACACTGTGATGACTAATCGAGTGCTGCTGTTTTTTTGTTGTTGTTGTCAGAAGCAAGGAGATGAAAAGATCTAGCTGTATGTGTTGGTGCCTCTGTGTGGATGTGAATCTTCACAAAAACAACCTGACAATGAAAAACGCATTTTCGGGAGAGCTGACACAGTAAGTGGATTGGCAGAAACTTAATCAGCAATGATGTTGTGATAATCAATTGTTTCAGTCATTTGTTAAGCAAAAACATATTTGCTATTTCAGAGCAGTCAAATGTTTCTTTTTCATACATGTCACTCGTTGAAACAGCTACTCAGAGATTTGAGGGCATCACCTTGGCTTGTAAGAAATTGACATATTGTGACAACTTTTTTAACATTTCAGAATAAAAAACTTACAGCAGATTAATCAACACTGAAAGTAATCCCTAGTTGCAGCCCTAATTTTCAGATTCAGCTGGCTTCATGTAGACACGGTCTCAGTCAACTCTCCTCATAAGTAAAACTGAAATTAACTATATCAAAAGCTGTGTTGCTTTGTAGAAAACAACAACAAAACAAACAAAGGATCAAAGTCTGATTTACATTATGGACTGCAAAAGACTTCTGTTGGACAAACTAGGGTACCTCTTCTGTAATGGAGGTATGTATGAAAAAATGATGCTTGGACCTTTGAGTATATGTAGTATATTCTAAAACTAGTCCCTATACTATATACTAGAAAAACAAAATAAAACAGGAACACTAGAACTAAAGTTTGTCATAATTAAACTCAACTGTACCCACATTGGACATATCTCCCAAGAACAAGGACTAGATAGAATGGAATAGATTTTTCTTTTACAGTACAAATCAGCACTAATTAAGCCAAAATGCTGACAATAATCCACAAAATAACTTCCTGAAAACTTACTAATATCACTAATGTCACACACACACACACAGAGCGAAGCACTCACATGGACACAGTCGTACCTTTGGACTGGATGCGTTCACAGTTGGGTGAGATGACGACACACTTGACCTTCCTGAGTTTGAGGTGCTTCAGGACCTCTCTGAGCCCCATCACAATGCGTCTTTTCATGCGCGCCTTCATGGGGTCCTTCTGATACAGGCGGTCCTGAAAACGGACCAGCTCCTTCAGCAGAGCCTTCACACACTCGTCCACATCTTTGCTCAGCATCTGGCTGCAATAGCTGACATGTACAACAATATATACAGTACAGGCCAAAAGTTTGGACACACCTTCTCATTCAATGCGTTTTCTTTATTTTCATGACTATTTACATTGTAGATTCTCACTGAAGGCATCAAAACTATGAATGAACACATGTGGAGTTATGTACTTAACAAAAAAAGGTGGAATAACTGAAAACATGTTTTATATTCCAGTTTCTTCAAAATAGCCACCCTTTGCTCTGATTACTGCTTTGCACACTCTTGGCATTCTCTCCATGAGCTTCAAGAGGTAGTCACCTGAAATGGTTTTCCAACAGTCTTGAAGGAGTTCCCAGAGGTGTTTAGCACTTGTTGGCCCCTTTGCCTTCACTCTGAGGTCCAGCTCACCCCAAACCATCTCGATTGGGTTCAGGTCCGGTGACTGTGGAGGCCAGGTCATCTGCCGCAGCACTCCATCACTCTCCTTCTTGGTCAAATAGCCCTTACACAGCCTGGAGGTGTGTTTGGAGTCATTGTCCTGTTGAAAAATAAATGATCGTCCAACTAAACGCAAACCGGATGGGATGGCATGTCGCTGCAGGATGCTGTGGTAGCCATGCTGGTTCAGTGTGCCTTCAATTTTGAATAAATCCCCAACAGTGTCACCAGCAAAACACCCCCACACCATCACACCTCCTCCTCCATGCTTCACAGTGGGAACCAGGCATGTGGAATCCATCCGTTCACCTTTTCTGCGTCTCACAAAGACACGGCGGTTGGAACCAAAGATCTCAAATTTGGACTCATCAGACCAAAGCACAGATTTCCACTGGTCTAATGTCCATTCCTTGTGTTTCTTGGCCCAAACAAATCTCTTCTGCTTGTTGCCTCTCCTTAGCAGTGGTTTCCTAGCAGCTATTTGACCATGAAGGCCTGATTGGCGCAGTCTCCTCTTAACAGTTGTTCTAGAGATGGGTCTGCTGCTAGAACTCTGTGTGGCATTCATCTGGTCTCTGATCTGAGCTGCTGTTAACTTGCGATTTCTGAGGCTGGTGACTCGGATGAACTTATCCTCAGAAGCAGAGGTGACTCTTGGTCTTCCTTTCCTGGGTCGGTCCTCATGTGTGCCAGTTTCGTTGTAGCGCTTGATGGTTTTTGCGACTCCACTTGGGGACACATTTAAAGTTTTTGCAATTTTCTGGACTGACTGACCTTCATTTCTTAAAGTAATGATGGCCACTCGTTTTTCTTTAGTTAGCTGATTGGTTCTTGCCATAATATGAATTTTAACAGTTGTCCAATAGGGCTGTCGGCTGTGTATTAACCTGACTTCTGCACAACACAACTGATGGCCCCAACCCCATTGATAAAGCAAGAAATTCCACTAATTAACCCTGATAAGGCACACCTGTGAAGTGGAAACCCTTTCAGGTGACTACCTCTTGAAGCTCATCGAGAGAATGCCAAGAGTGTGCAAAGCAGTAATCAGAGCAAAGGGTGGCTATTTTGAAGAAACTAGAATATAAAACATGTTTTCAGTTATTTCACCTTTTTTTGTTAAGTACATAACTCCACATGTGTTCATTCATAGTTTTGATGCCTTCAGTGAGAATCTACAATGTAAATAGTCATGAAAATAAAGAAAACGCATTGAATGAGAAGGTGTGTCCAAACTTTTGGCCTGTACTGTATGTTTCTAATCAACAAAAAATATCAGAAAAACAGTGATTAAATTCTGTTAAATTAAGTGTTTTCTTATTTTTTGACAAACAACCAACAAAGAGTACAACTTGTGGCAGGGTGTACAGTTTAGAGTCTTACTCTCTAAACTTTCTGCTGTGGATTTTGGGTCGACTGGCTGGGCAGGGCACAGGCGAGGTGGTTTCTTGCTCTATGTTCTCGTCTTTGTCTGCCTCCTCATCTCCCTCTTTCACGATCTCGTTTGTGCCATTAAATTCTGACTCATCAAGTTCCTCTGTGGGACTTCCAACCTCATCTGGGGCTACAGAAGTAAAAAACCAAACTGATCAAATATTAGCTTCCTTCCATACTTACAGTAGGACTCAATTCATTTCACATGCTTGCTCTGACCTGCAGTATTTGTGTCACACTGCTCTTCTTCTTCTTCTGCATCATCAGCTGCAGGTTTGAACTCATCTTCAGGCAGCAGCCCTCTCTCCTCCAGCAGACGTCTCTGTTTCCTCTCCTCCCTTTCTTTCAGAATGACCTCAGGATCAAAGAGAAATAAACCAACAAAGCAAATAAAACAACAAAACAATAAACCTTACAAAACGCAATACATCTCTGTTTGTTCCAGAGTTAGGTCGGTGGACTTACCTTCTTGAGAGGAGTGGGTTTCTTGGCTTTGGGTACCTCTCTCTGCTTGCCTTTCTTCACCAAAGGGCTGGTGGAGTCCAGGGGGTTGTGAGCAATTTTATCCTGCTGCCAGGGAGGCTTCTTCTGGACTAATGGCTGCTTCTGGACAACAGGTAGTCCTCCACCAACTACAAAGAAATCATTTATTCTTATTCTGGGGAAGGTTTATATATCCTGCGCTAACAGATGTGGATCAATAAACGTTGTTCAAAGAATACAGGTGTAATCAGCCAAAATATAATTGTATATAATCTTCATCAAAAAAAAAGAGGGATCTGAGGTCATGACGACAACCATACGCACCTGAGAGAATGACTGGCTTGGCGTCCTGCTTGGCTTTTTGAGATTGCTTCTTTTCCAGGGCAGCCAACATGTTTCCGATGTCCAGCTGAACAGGAGCTTTGCTCTTCTTCCCAGACACCTTTTCAGCTTTCTAGAAATCATGACACCACAAACAATCTCCTCTCAGTCTCTCCAGGATAATATCCAAAGACAGCCATTTAGAATGCATAAGAGACATACAAACCTGTCCTATTTTCGCTGCCTCTGCAGGCTGAGATTTTGCAGCAGATGATCTGTCCTTGGTTTGGTCGGCAGACTGATGCTGCACACCTTCTCTTTGGTTTTCCTGGAAAAAAAATGCAGCAACATAGATTTGCAAATTACATACTGTCTAATTAATCTTAATGACCCCCTGCTGACCACACACATTGACATGTGTATTTTTCACCCATGTATAAAATGACACAGTATGATAATTATGATGTACAAACATCTTGGAGGGGAAATAACATACTGCATGTATAATAATATTTACCTGTTTGCATAGTTTTGCTGCATAGCTGCTTGTTATCAATCTGTCAGTCACAGTCACAGCAGGAGTCAAGCCTGGAAACTCTTCTTCATCCTGCGGAGATAAAATGGCAACAAAAATTATCTTCCATTCAACACTTAGGAAAAAAAATCTAAACTTAAAATACTCAGAAATGGGTTTTGCTTTTACACTGAATGTGAATAAAGACGCAGTTTTTATTAACCTCAAATTTTGGAGGCTCCTGGTAAAGTACTGGCTCCTCTGACTCAGCTTCTGCATCCTCGCCAGCACTTTTAGCTTTCTTCTTCTTTTTCTTTCGTTTCTTCTTCCCTGGAGCTCCCTCATCTTGCTGAGCTGCCATTTCCTCCGCCTGAGGAGATGCAACAAAGGGACAGAAAACAATGTTTGAAAAACAGGAAAACCCAGAAAGGTTTACGCAACAACTACATTTTATTATCTATGAAAGTGGGTGGCACCTTTAAGAGACTAAACAGCCAATTTTCAGGCAAGAAAACATATTAAGGTTTAAGAGATTTTGATGCATTCTAATGCCTTATTGAGAAACCATCATGTTGTCTAACCTGCATGTGGTTGCTGCTGATTGTCTTCTCTTTCGGGACAGGTTTCTTTGGAGGCTGGGAGGCAACATTAGCCCAGGAAGTAACCACCGACTGACCTATTCACAAAAATAAATAATTAGAAAAATTACTGCCACTGCCTTTAAGTCTTTGAAAAGCCAGCTGGATGGACTTTCACTTACCTGGTGAAGCAGTGGAGGAATCTGACTTAGCGTTACTGGCAGTTTGTTGGGGGTCAGGCTGTGTTGGGGATCCTCTGCTGACAGACTATTCAACAGGAAATTAAAGCAGCACAAAATTCATTAGTGAAGCATTCACTGCAAACTGCACAACATCACAGCTGATATTTCAGTGACCTCACCCTCCAGGAAGATGCCGACCCTTGCGTTTGAGTTGGACCCCAGCACTCCCTCTGAACAAGAGGAGGACCAGCTCTGCCCAGGGAACCACCAGCCAACTCTGGGAAATCAGTCATCTTCACTTCAAATGGGATCAAGCCTTCCTGTGCTGGTTTTGACTTGCCTGCAGAGTTTGGGGCAGATCTGGCACCTCTAAAACCTGTCGTCCAATTACACACAAAAGCTGATGAATAAGAGTAAGGGAAATTAGATGCACGCTGATAACGTGCCGGGGTTTACTCAGGAAAATGTTAACATTACCATGTGCTGTGACTACCTTTTTTCTGTGAATCCCATAAGATTTTGCTCATGACTCCCCCTTGCACCAGAGAGCCACTGCTTCCTTTTGATGTCTGTGGAGATGGATAGAAAACACTGAAACTGATTGCATGATTAAAGTTGGTTTTATCCATTTTTCTGGTGTCTCAAAATGAAGCCAACCTTTCCTTGCGGATCCCGTGTAAACCTGTCTCTCTGCAGAAAATCATCAGTGGTGTCTCTAACACGACGGCTGTTGCTGTAGCCATGACTCCTTGACACATCTCCTCTTCCTGCTGTCACTCCATTTGATGAACTCTGCTTTGCGCTCAGACCTGATGACCGGCTCCTTCACAAAGTTCAGAAATTCACACAAGTAAGTGTCTTGACACCAGGCCATTAGGGAAATAATTGATTACTTTAGCCAAAATAAAAATCTGTGATCATCCCCTACCCTCTTAAACTCTCGTCGGACACATAAGGATTTGGGAACATCATCATGTGTGTCTCAGCAGGCTCCTTTCCCTGCCTCCTCGGATGCTTGTTGTCATGAGACTGGACAGCAGATGACAGTTTGCTCTCCTGGGGGACAGTGAAGATTGTTTGTCATTTAGTCTACTGGAAAACGACCTTTGACTGGAGTACTAATGAAGCCATGTATTGACTCACTTATTTAAACACTACCTGATCACTTTATCCACGTTTTAGGCTCACAATTCACTCATACGACATGTGTTGAGCTCAACTTTTACTATTCTGCAAGCGCTAATTTAACCATGAAACTATTTAGCCGTTAGCTTAAATTAACATCTAACTTAGCTTTAACTTACAACGTTGTTTAAGTTACTTTTGGGGAACCTAACAAACCTTAATGTTGAACAAAACGCCATAAACAACAGCTTATTTGTGTGGTTAAAACAGCCGTTAGCTTAAAGTACCATCTACACACATTCACAACAGCTAAAAGTTAGCAGCAACACGCATCAGCGCACGCTAGCATCACAGGCTGGCTAGCTAGCTAGCTAGCTAAAAACAACCGTTATGTTATTTTTTCCCCACAACTACCTTGTCCATCTTCAGGTTTTCCTACACGCAGTCACATGTCCGCATGTTCACTCGATATTCCATGTGTTGTCAGACTCCCTGTCACAACGCTGCTACATTTATCTACCAATAGCAACAGTGTGTTGGCTAAGCAGCCTGTTTGATAACATAGCAGTTAGCAGCTAGCTGTTAGCCGTAGTTGAGCCTGATAGAAACAGCTGATGTTTACAGTGTGTGCAGAGAGGAGAGCAACAGCGACATCTACTGGATCACAGCGGTCATCAGTCAACTCTAAAAACAACAGCAGCTAAATATAAATGCCTTTATTGAAATTTTCGGTAATATTATGCTGACATGTTAGTGGTATAATGATGTATTTGTATTTTAGTATATTTATAGTGTATTTTAGTATGTTCTTATATTGTTTATTCTTATTGGCCATAGCATATAAGTAATACAGTAACCAAGCAGTTAACCAGGTAACTTCTAAAATAGCATGCAACTTAATAAATGTTAATGTTCATAAAAAGCATAAACCAATTCTTATAACTAATTATGGTCAAAGGGGGTTCAATGAAGGTAGGTAAACGATGGTATAATGTAAATAATAATTCAAATCCTTTCCTTGTATGCCCCCAAATTGTTTGTGGTTTCAGTTAACTACAGAAAAAAAGGCAAAAAAGTAATTTAACTATACAGGTATAAATGTATTTGAACTACCAGCAAGTCAGTGCAAAATGCAGTTAAACTACTGGTTGAATTACATGTAGACCTTGTTCACACTGTTAACACTTACATTTGCAGACTTGATTTATTAATGACTGCTGATGGCTTATTGATGACTTATTAGAAAGTGAGAAACTAATGAGCATTTATTATGACATTACCAACACATATAACTCAATTATTACCAAAAAAGTAATAGTATCTATCTATCTATCTATCTATCTATCTATCTATCTATCTATCTATCTATCTATCTATGCATCCATCCATCCAGGCCTATCTAAAATAGCATAAAACAAGCTCAGATAACACACTGAGTCAAACCTACAGCCAGTGGTGATAGCACAAGACTCAAACTCATTGTGCTTGTTCCATAAAGCTGTGGAGGAACTTTGCTAATAAGATTTATTGTAGATTTGCACCATTGAAGTACTATATCATTACTACTATACTACTACTACTACTATACATTATTGCTTGTATGATTACTGTAAAACTTCAATTAGTAGCCCTGACTTTTATTTGCTTAACTCACTGACATCAACAGGCCTGTATTTGGGACAGGCCTTTAATTCCTTTCACATCAAACTGTTGCTCAGCTAAGATGGGAAATACAATCAAATTGTTTAAAACAGTATGAATATTACATGTACAAAAATTAGGCTTAAGATTATATATTATAATATATTATTTGATCTAGCTCCGACAGATAGCACATCAGAGAGAGAGGGTGAGTTACGGCACACAAAGATTATGGTATACTGACACAACACCACTTTACCCCGTAAAACCAATACTCACAATTTGAATTAATTTTATGAAAAACTGTTTGGATTCTTTTGATCTGAGGACCCTTACAGACTAAATATGAATATGAATAACCTACAGGGTTAGTGAGAAATGGACACATAATTTGAGGTTGTGACAACCCGCTTTTAAACATCTTAAGAACATCTATAAAGAAAATGAACTGCTTGGCAATGAGACCAGGCGTCTAATAGAGACAGGCGGGTTTTTTTTTTTGTCAATATGTGTGGCCACACAAGGCTGGTAAGAGGGACTAGAAGTTTAATTGGGACTAGGCTTTTAATTGAAGTTTTACGTTACTTAATGTAGCGGCCCTGTCATGTGGAGTGGTTAGAACACCTTTTGTCCTGTATTTTAGTTTTTTTTTCTGTGCATCCTTGGCAGATATTTCCAAATAAATATAGCCATGAGTTTTAGAGTACTATGTTGTATGTATAAAAATGTTGCATTCCAACTTTTACTCATAGTAAAAGAAAAAAAAAAGAATGATCAGAAAATTATTTTCAAGGTGTCAAAAGAAAAAGTATCCTTAAAGCAGAATTAGCTCTTTCAGAGTGTTGCATAATGGCATATTTGGACTTTTATATATGCATTAACATGCAAGCAGTATTTTTAATGTTGTAGGTGGTTGATGTGGAGCAAATTTTTTACTCATTTATTTACTGTTGGGTAGATTCATCTATAAAAAAGGACCTTATTTTACAGTTACATCATATTTTTTTATGTAAAATCTAATCTGCACAAAAACATGTCACATTCAGATACGTGTTGTGGAGTAAAAACTAGCATCAAATGAAAATACTAAATAAAAGTACCTCAAAGTTGTACCTGAGTAAATGTGCTTGGTTTAATTTCCACCACTGCAATTACATTTCTTACCTTTATAACCTTTTTGCACAGTCTCTATATGACATAAAATAATTCATATCTATACACAGATGCTGTCTTGCTTGTTTATTCTTTTTTTTAATAACAAGAAAATAGAATATCCACATTTTTAAAGTGAGCTAAAATAAAAAGCTACTTTGTAAAATATAAAATCTGAGTGACTGATAAAATACTGCATTATAAAATGATATCTATGAGCATAAACGTTATTTGTAACCCACCCTCATCCATACATTTCACGATATGCACAGGTCTACATGTGCACATTAAAAGGCATTACATCCACTCATTTCCCATTTGTACAACACGTCCCTCTGTTTTGGCATGTGCAATGTCTTCTGGCATTATTTTGTTTCATGTGATGATCCTCGATGAGCAGTGCAGAGAGTTTGTATCTCATTATTTTTGTTCATGTCAAAGTAAGACGTCAGTGCTTGTTCTCCCAACATCATAACATTCATTTAAACTGTAAAATGTCTCTGCAGTCAGAGTCTCTGTCAAGTATTTGTGTCCCTCACTCCTCCTTTAGCCGTCTTGCTGTTCTCAGGAGAGCCAGAGGGATAACGAAAGAGGCTGAGGTGAGGAGAAAACAGATCTGGGCTCCAGCTATCCAGTAAACTGCGAAGAAAACACAAGATTTAAAATGACTACACTGCAAAGAGCAATTATTGCCAAGCAAAATTATTTCTACACAGAAAATCAGTCTGTAAAATATTTCACTATGCCCAGTTTCCATGTCCAGGATAAGGTATTACAACTGTCTACAAATCTGAGCAGCATTTGGTGCCATCTGTCTTCCTTACCAGAGGATGACACGACTGGTCCAAGTGCTCTGGCCAGAGCGCCCAAACTACGCAGGATCCCCATCACTGTGCCCTTCTGATTGGCTGTACCTGGAGGAACATCCACGGCAGATAATCAGTAACAATGTGCACATTATAGCGTAATCAAAATGGTTTGTGAGTTTCCATAAATATGAATTAATAAAGAGGCTCACCGTGGTCAGAAACAAGAGTTGACAGACATGGAACTACTATTGCAGCCGCTGTAACAAAAATAAATGACACACAGGACAGTTAACATGCATTTAACATAAATAAATCTGTTAAATGTAGATAAATTTCATGTTTTAGGTACATTTTGTCTTTGGATATTATCCCGCTGTCTTATTGGTTGACCTACTTCAATCACAAAACCTCTGGAGATACATCATAACTGACAAAATGGCAGCATAAAGTAGTTAACACAGTTACATTGCTGTTGTGGTCTGTGCCCACACAATATCTACATTTTACGTAAGAGGCTCTTGCAAAGATTTCTTCCTTTTTTTTGAGGGGGAGTTTTGCCTCATGTGAGTTGAGGGTCTGAGGTCAGACGATGTCGTATACTGTAGAGGTTGTAGAGCCTACTACGACAAATTTGTGATGTTGGGATGTATAAATAAACTGACTGTCAAATAACATAATACTAACAAAGGACATCAGAGGCCTAAGGGAGAGAGCTAGACTATTTAATATAGCTATACTGTCAAGCTCTCTGCTTTAAATGTTGATATTATCTTGCTTTAATTTACTCTGTGATGACAATGACAATTATAATTTTCCAGACTTTCTACTGCGGTTGCTCATTTTTCCCCACAAGGATCATTATTTTACCATATCACTTTTGCAGGGCTCATTAGATTTGGTTTTTAAAGGTTCTGCATGCCACATTCAGATTATTAATACAGCAAAAAAAACACTATTTGCTATGTAAAGATAAAGTGGGGTAATGGCATCATGAGCAGAGAATGAAGTCACACTGCATCTGTGTGTGTTGTAATCAGAGCTTCTCTGTTCTTTGCTGTGGTAATCAGTCCAGCCGTGTGTGCATGTTAGTGCATGTGGGAGTGTTTTTAACCCTCATTGTTTATTAATTGTTTAGGCTGCACACGTTCATTTGATCACTGTCACTTCCGGTAGTAACTGGCACAGGTGTGGATGTGGTTTCACATTATTTAACCTGTTCATTCACTGGTGTGGCGGCTTTTAGACAAAGAGGGTGAGATTTGGCTCTGATATATTCTGATGACCGATACTGCAATCACGTAATCACATCACATAGTATTTAATGTAATCTCTTTTTGCTTTAGTTATCTCAGTTGTTTGTTTAAATGATCATAAAACGCATCTTTGGACTTCGTCATGGGTTTCTTTAAATATGCCACACTTAAGAGCCAACTCAGCCTCTTAGCGGCTGTTTTCATTTCATTGTTTATCCCAATGGCTAAAAGATTTTTGCCCTGAATTTTGCATAGAAGAAAAAGAGGAAGCTATACTTTATTAATCCCTCAGGGGAAATTCAATTTTTTTCACTCAGTTGTTATATACACACAGGCCGGAAATACACGCACATGCACTGATGGGACCTATACATGCATTAAATGGAGAGATGTCAGAGCAATGTAGCTGCCTTGGACAGACACCCTGAGCAGTTGGGGGTTCAGTGCCTTGCTCAAGGGCACCTCAGCAGTGCACAGGAGGGGAACTGGCATCTCTCCAGCTACCAGTTCATGCTCAATACTTGCTTCATATGGGGACTTGAACTGGCAACGCTCCACTTCCCTATGGACTGAGCTACTGCCACCCCAGTAAGCTCTTTAAAAAGTCACCAAATGTATCACTATTAATTGTGAATGTAAAAAAAACCCTGAAATTCTGATTAGTTTTGTTTCACCCTGAGGGACTCAGCTCTGGGAGTTATTCATCCTCTTGGTTCTTAAC